TACTAAAAAAAAGTAATATATTACATATTACATATTACTTTAAAAAAAAAGTAATATATTACACTACTTCGTTACTCTCTACATAAAGTAACTCGTTACTTTACTCGTTACTTTACTCGTTACTTTACTCGCAGGGCCGGCCTGCCCCTCCCTGCAGGCAGATCACGCAGACTGCTAAAGTTTCAAATGTTCTCTTTAGTTCAGTTTCCATTGTCGCATAAGACTGATCCAGATAGCTCTGACTATGGCTGTCCTCTGTCTCCTGCTATCTGTATTTTGCGCAGTATATCTCTGAACGATGCGATGGTGATTCCACTGTGCAAATGGGCAACATTACCTCTACTATGAAGGATGCTACAAGCCTGTCCATCTCTGCTTTGGTTACCGGTCCTCCAAATTCTAATTTGTGCCGCTTCAGAGTCGGCGGCGGGGCACTCACAACATCCTCACTCTGGGTTCGGGGGTCCGGTCCTTAGCTATTAGCTTCACCTTAGCATGTGTTCTTTGCAGGTGTTTGTTGAGGTTTGACGTGGTGTTTGCAGCAGTGGATAACAGCTTCTGGCCTGGACACAGTTTGCACCTCACCGTCACATTCCTGTCTATTCTTCGGATGAACTCAAAATAATGGGCATACCTCCACCCCTCGAAAGTTATCGCTGACTCTGCCATGTTTATGCAGCACTGCACGTGGAAATGTGGACGTGCAAGTCGCGCAGATTACGTACATATAAACCTGCGGCGGAAACCCCTCTTGTCTGTCAGTGTGATTATGACTGATTTTATAAAAGTAACGAAGTAACGCGTGTCGGGGCAATGTTAGTAACTGTAGTGTGATTACTGAATTATAAAAGTAACGCGTTACACTACTCCGTTACCGACAAAAGTAATATTATTACAGTAACGCGTTACTTTGTAACGCGTTACACCCAACTCTGGTCGACAGACATACTGGGAAATGTCTGTTATACTGCAAAGTCTTTCTAAATGTAGCTAACGTTAGCTAATGTTAGGTAACATTAGCCGCCGTTAGCCACCGTTAGCTAGGGGTCATACCAGACCAAGTAGGCTAAAAGGCTGTAGCAGTAAACACCTTGTTAACACACGTATAAATATTCCCTTTGTAAGAGGATTAGTGTATATTCTTGCTTTAAAGGGGACCTATCATGCAAAATGCACTTTTGTACGTCTTTTATACATGAATATGTGTCCCCGGTGTTCCAGGGAACTCACCAAGTGTCAGAAAACACAACCCTCTCTATTTTCCTCCATACCCAAATCTCTAAAAAAGGGGCTGCAACGGATCTGATAAAAACTGATCCAGATTTGAACACTGTCCTGACGTCAGGACGGTGGCGCTACGGCTATTCGGCCAACTCCACCAATCAGGAGGAGACAGCCAAGGTCATTGCCGTTCGAAAGCGCTGGAGACGCTGTAGTACATATGCCAGGCCTGTAGGTGGTGCTGTTCTCACAGAATCACCCCTTGCAAAAACAGGGGTAAAAAAGTGAAATGAGGCATGGCTAAAATGCATGATCTGTTTGGTAAGTATAAATATGCCTTATATAGGTATGGTCCTACACTATATTATTATAATATAGCATTATAGGTCCACTTTAAGGTATTGTCATTTGTTTTATGTTGTTTTTTTCATTTTGAGAAAATGATAGAATCAAATGGCAATAGGTGAATGCCAGAATCTTATTTTGTTTTAACACTTGTACTAAAAGCTAAGAAATATTTTGTGACTTTAAAGGCTTTTTTTTCTTTCTGTAAAAAGCACTTCAAAACACTCTCTGATCTAAAAATAGGCCTACCAACATTTCAGATTTGATGAATGCAGTGCTAGTTTTCTACTGGTGTGTAAGTTTGGCACATTTTCTCATGGGTTTTTTCGCAGATCTGTAAAAACCAGTATAACATAAATGCAGTATAACATCGCAATATAAAAATACACAAAATCATATAAACTGCTTCACATATACTGCAATATGTGTTGCTGCAGCATACACTTCAATCAGTTTGTTCATTTATCGTAGTGACAGTTAATTAACTTCATGGTATCGTAACCATTGTTTGGAAGTTTCCGAATATATAAAATATACTGCAATAGCGTATACTGTTACAGTATGTTATGTATTTTAATGTAAAACAATGACAACATTACCATTATATGGATCAAAACAATTATCCCAAAGGGTAAAATTCACAGTTTTGCAGCATTATTGTATTATATTGTGTAAGTGTTCTTTTATAGTTTTGTATCCCTTTGTTGCCACCCTCTGCATTTACCCCAGTAGTCAATGCATCAATTCATTCTAACAGCATGCACTGAAAAAGTGAAAGCTAATCACAAAGGTCCTCCTCACAGTCTCCTTCTATCCAGGGACAAAGTGTCTCAAAATGGAGACTTTGCAGCAGTGCTAAGGATCGAATTTGGCCACAGGAGAAACCAAGATTAGATCGATCAATACGATTGGATTGCCTTTCTACAATGCACAGAGCACATTCATGTAGCAAAATATGTAAGCCAATTGGGCAGGTTTGATGCATTATGTTCAGCATTTAGAAAGGGTAATGTCACGGTTTGTGTGTTAAATTCAGATAAAAGTTGTTGTATTCTCCACTGACTTCTTGCTAATGATGTTCTCCTGGAACTGATACAATTGGCAAATGATTATTGATCTCAGCACTAGAGGAGTCTGGCTCCTTTACAGAAAGATATTGTGCCGGTTTGCAGTCTGCGAGTTTTCTAATTACATTCATACATATTAATTGAACAACTTCACACTTTCCTGTAGGATACGAGACAAAATGTTAATTAGTGGTAAACTGTAAAACACAGAGCTGTTCCTGCAGCATGTGAAGAGAAACATGTTGCAGCTCCATCACACCACAGGCCATTTGAAAAAATGTCATCACTTCTCAGACTGCACAAGAGGAGAGAATTGAGAGAGGTGAAAAAGCAATTCCCAAAACTGATGACTGTTATACAAAATTACAAGAATAGAAAGACAAAGAGGCAGCATTAACTCTTAATACGCAGCCTTGGGCCAAACTAATAAAACCACAATTGAATCAGCTCTAAATAAATGATGGCGCTGTAGTTTAATAGCATATCATCTGCCTCGCTGACAGCATTGGATATGGCGCTGCTATATATTTTAGTAATCCCACAAGTTGCAATCCAAGGGCATTTCTCTGCAACAAATTCACATTAAGTGTTGCTTTATTTCCCTCACTCATAACATTTGTGTCTACTGGGGTTTTAAAGCAAACACTGAGCTCCACCCAGTGGAGAAAATGAGAACTGTAAAAATGCACAAACTACATTTAAACCAAATAATCCAAAGCTACATTTGTCAACAAATGTTACTTATTGACAATATTTTATTTTTGTTCTCGCATTGGTAAATCAATGGCAACACACTGCTACTCAACAAAAAGATGAACACATTACATGTAAACATTGCATTATATTACAGAACATGAATTGAAAAATAAAATAATTCTCATGCGTTTGTGAAAATAAACCATTCCTCTAAGCATGTTGTTGTATTTATACATCCTTATCGTTTCGTTTCAACACTCCCTTATTGTTGTTGTGGCAGTCAGTTTACATACTGCATGTGTTAGATGTAATAGCACAGTAATAACACACTGCAGCCACCAGGCACTAAAGATAATAAAGATAATTCTGCACCATGTGCCAGATCGTAAAGTGGTTTGTTGGTTACTGATAAACACTCCTCCATTGTGACACTGACATTCAGTTCATCTACAATTCTGGAGTAAATAATAACAATTTTCTTATAAATGTGTTTCTTGGTGGGATTCTTCCTTACAAAATCAGCTATCTTTCACAGTGAAAAATGTACAGTTTTCTGTCTTTTGAGACAGGCTTGAGATGTTATCGTACAATGACTTTTCTTAAAAACAATATAAAGATATTGCACACCATTATTTTTGTGAGCGTTGTTAATAAAGTTTGAGTTCCGCATCTTGTCTGTAACGGTCCCGGCCTAACCTCTTAAAACGTTTCGATTTAGAAGCAGAAACCAAGCCTGTTCTCAGCTCTTTTATAAAACACTACTGTAATCAAATAAGATTCCGAACACCTCACACTATTGCAGACGATGAATAAAAGTCACAACTGCAGCTTTTTGTTGCCATGTAAAAAAAATCTCCCGTTAAAAGTCACTTTAGTTTGAAAACCGTGAGACAAATGAACACAATACAGAAAACATTCATTTGCAAGTGAGTTGATTTACTTTGAGGGTGAATGAGCAATACTTATCATTCATACAAAATGTATATTACTTTGAATAAATGTGCAAACAAAGCTTTAATAAAGGATGCCTTAACATGCTCTGATGCTGGCATTTGGAAAAATATACAGTTAGAAATATATACACATCCAAGAGTAGCACTCCTACATACTCAGTGTGGGCATTAGCAAGAATCTGCTTGCATAGTTAAGTGCATGCATAAGCAAGTTATCATGCAACACCTGTCATATATGAGCGGTGATCTCTTTTATGTCAGTGCGTTCAGTGTTGATCTACTCTGCGATGCAAGCTAAAGATGTGAACAAGCTGTGATGTCACATGTGAAGACGGGCTGACTCAAACATACCATAATGCTCTATGTACATGTATGGTGGTTTCAACCAAGGCATCCCAGCTGTCTTTAAATATGTGCGCGTATAGTGGTATAGCGTATTATTATTTTTTTTTACATTAACCCTGTGTTCATCTGAGAGGAATGTTTGGAGATGTCTGGCAGTCTGAAGAGTTTGATCCCCATGAGGGCACCGCGGCTAAGTGTTGGCATCAGCAGCTGGAGGGCAGAGGTGGTGACGGGCGGAGGTTGTCTGAGGGGTAACAGGTCATTTACTGGTAAATAAAACACAAAACATTTAAGAAATTTTACAAACCGACGTCTCCAGACATTAAACAACACATGCTTCGTTCCTGCACTTCCCCCCCCCCCCCCTCGGGCCTCTCCTTCCTGCAAAAATACTTCTTAAAGGCTGTTGCACAATAACTACATCAAGGAGCATATGTAAACAGCGGTTCAGGTTAAATAGGCTAAATTGTGTTCGACTTGAAATTACATTTTCAGTGATTAATAAATATTAAAATTGAATTATAAATTTACCAACACCTGCAGTTATACATTTCAGATTAAATACGTTGATTATCTGAGGCACTGATGTTTGTCGACATGTGGCTCTCAATACTGAGGGAGAGAGCTGTACATAAAGATTTTTGGAAATATTTCTCTGAATCAGCATGTTAAAAATTGCCAGTAAACTTCCTTTGGTGACTGAGTTGTCCGTGTTTGCTCAACATTTTCCTTCCACCATTATATGCGCTTTCTTGTGCAAAGTCACTTTTATTTCCCACCCCCTACCGAGATGCACTTCTCCTGACTATGCTACAGACAGAACAAGGCAATCATTTCAATACATGTGCAGTCCATGCTTATTTACAATACAGTATATATTCCTCAAAATCAATGCAATCCATACAAAGTGCTTTGTTCAAATCCATTCCTAAATAACTATTTAACAATGTGTCCGGTATGGCAGCTGGTATTCAGTAACCACTGAAAAGCTACAGGTGCTTTAAAGATGTTTGTCAGACGTTGATGGTTAAAACACCTCAGAGCTGCACGAGAGAGATTGTTATCAGGCCTTTAAACTATCGTCACTTGGCCTTCTGTTGTGAACTGATTGGGATCTTCCTGGACTGCATTGCCTTTTTAACCGGCTCTTTCTTTGTCGGGTCTTTTGCATTGGTTGAGGACTGGGTGGTTGTTTCTGCTCCGGAGAGCTTGGACTTGGTGGAGGGCAGCAGTGAATGCTTAGCTGCAGCCTTGGAGGACTCCTTGTCTTTGGCTGTGGTCACATTATTGGGGGTCTCTGAAGCCCCGTTCTGGGCTTTCTTGCTTGCCCCGTGTGGGATTCCCTCCCGAGCTGCGTCCCCACCCCCATCCTCTGGACTCGCTTTAGCATCACCCACCCCTGCTTTCCCACCATCTGCTGACTTACGGGTCTCTTTGGGCCTCAGGGCAGTTTTGAAGAAGGACAAGCCTTTGTCCTCGGTCTTGCTGTTCCTTTGAGGCCCTCTTGATGGCGGGCCAGTGGAGGTCACACCCACACTCGAGGAGCGGAGACTGGCCATGGAGGAGCTGCTGCTGGAGCTACGCCCCGCCGCCCGGTTCTCCACCGCCCGGCCCGGCCTAGCCTCCGCTCTGTTAGCAGCGCTCGACCTGGAGGGAGGCCCCCCGTGGTTGACCTTCTTTTCTGCGTTAGTCCGTGAGGATTCGCGGCTAGCGCTCCTCTCTGCTGCTTTAGTCCGTCCTGAGGCTGAGCTTTTCTCCCCTCTGGGCGATGTCCTCCTCTGAGGGTGTGAGCTTTGTGTTCCCGGAGAACCACTCTTCCTCTGTTGGGCAGAGTCGGGATGTAAAACCTCCGGGGTTGTGGATGACCCCTTCTTGGAGGGGGTCGCTGTTCTCGAGGAACCGGCCTTGCTAGTTTTAGGCGGCCCGTCGCTTTTGTCCTTCGGTGTTGCTGCTGAAGCCGCACTCTTGGTCTGCGTTCGAGACGGCAGCTTGTCAACAGCGGGGGAGGCGGGGGACAGAGAGCTGGAGGACGTTGAGGAGGTGGCAGGACGCTTTTTAGGACTGGCTGAAGTCCTTTTAACACCAGCGCTATCTGCAGCCCCACTTCTGGGTTTCGCATCCTTTGCAGCGGCCCCGTGTCGAGGACTGATCTGTTCGGAGGCAGTGGCCACGTTGTTGTTCTCCCCAGCCTGGGTGGAGCTCCTCTGCTCCGCCTGCGCCACAGCCTTGGAGTGGACCTGCTCTATCAGCCTCTTACTGCCTGCGTTACCATCCACAGCAGCGAGGGCCGACTTGCCCCCAGAGGCTCGGTCAGGTTTAGGGGACCCCGTGAAGTAGGAGGCGGTGTCAGCCACCTCTCCGATCCTCTCCAGAGTCGGGGAGGAGGAGTGGGACTCCAGGGAGAAGCGCGACGGAGAGTTGGAGCGGAGTTGGAGCTTAGCGGAGTGGGACCAGGACGGTTTAGTGCAATTTTCACTTAGCACCAGTGGGCTGGCAATGGAAGATCTTGAGGAGAAAGTTTGTCTTTGCATGCCTCTTACTGCCGGCCGGCTCGATAAGCCTGCAAGGTAGAAAGATATGCATCCATGTAAGTACATATTTATATTTGTAACCTTTGAAGTAGGGCTGGGCAAACAATCGATATTATATTGGAATGGTGAAACGAGAATGGATGTCATCTTAGATTGCGTAGATCATGTCTTTTTACAGTTCTCAATGCTGCTTTCAGTATTGTATTTTTCTGCAATAATAATGATTTGCCTTTGCCCATTAAGTCATATAGTAAGTAGTAAACCCTAAAACATCGTCACAATACTGATCTATTACAGTAGGTCAAAAACCATCATGATGTTTGATTTTATTCATATTGCCAACCCCTATTTTGTAGCATTTAAATCAAGTCCGAAATGTGTGTGTTTGGATGAGTCTGTATCACCATCATCTTCGCTCCGTTCACCAGCGAACTCGGCTGACTCGGAGAGGGAGGCCAGCGAGGTGCGCCTGGAGGACCCGGAGGAGGCCTGGCTGGGGGGGCGGCTGCCCATCAGACGGCTGATCCAGTGCTCACACAGAGAGGAGCTGGTGGATCCTAAAGTCCCAAACAGACAGCAGTTTAACATGTAGAATGTATTTCAATATGTTCATCAGAGACTGTACGAGCTAATGATAAATAAAGATTACCTCCCACAGAACTGTTGGCAGACCAAGAGGGAATGGTGGCACGTCTCTGATAAAACAAGATGTACCCAGTCTGCTTGCAAACATCATCTTCAGATATGGGCTGAACGTCGCTGTCGTCAAAGCAGTACCACTGTCCATCTATGGAGTTCTTACAGTGAGCTGAAAGACACAAAAAACATTTTGATAAGCTTTTAGGGAAATAAAATCAGTTTAAAGAAGAGACACCTATTTTCTCTCAACAGCCTGTTGAAGTCTAACTTTTCAACATGTTTTTTGGAAAGAAATGATATATAAATCGGACCATGAGTTTTTTTTTGAGAGCACAAATTCCCCAACTCTCCAAATTGACCAATGCATGAAAAAACCACAGGTTATTGGTGGTTATTGTTGCTTGGTTACCTGTGTAGTGTCCTCCCTGCATGGTCCCATGATGGTTACACACTGCGTACAGGTCGTACAGGTAGTCCTCCGGGTCACGGCCCATCCCATAAGGCCGTCTCCACGGTGACCAGTGGGAGGGGAGACTCCAGCTGCTCTGACTCCTCTTCACCATGTGAGGCGCCATGTCCATGCCCGTGAGCGGGAACTTCACCATGTTCTGCATCTTCATCCGCCGATCCCCATCCTGAACACGTGACACATTCGTGGCATTTAATCTGACAGCAAGATGTTCTATACGTTCCTAAACAGTCATATAAAAAGGGGGACCTGAGCATTTATTAGTCTACATGCGTACCTGTCTGAAGCGTTTGAGGTGCAGGATGAGGATGTCGGGCAGCGTCCACAGACTGAGCTTGATGCTGCCCTGCTGGAGCTGCTTACAGTGCGGACAGCGCCACGCATCATCAGGAGCCAGCTGAGATCAATGTGAGGGAAAAGAGTTACTAGAAAGTATTCAAACGTATTCAAAAACTGTGTTCTGTTTTTTATATTTCATTTGTACCTGTTTCTATGTTTAGTTTGTTATAATAAGGGTATGAAATTATTGCATTTTCTTTTATAGTTAGTGAAATGTAACCAGATACTGTACTTAAAATCTCAAGATACGTGTACTTTTGATGAAACACTTTTTCACATGTTGAGAAAATTCTCATACAATGTACAACCCTCTCAGAAAATCCACTGTGACTTTTTAGAGTCACATGATCTTACAGAAAATAATGTATTGGTTTTAAATAAAAAAATACCCAACAGGGAACATATTACTGCATGATGAGTTATTTATGTTTTCATACTTTTAAGTACTTCTGCTGAAATATATACTTTTACTTTGGTAAGGTTTTGGATGCAGGGTTTTCACTGCATCTCCCGTACTGTACTTTTACTAGATGGACGGAAATATAATCCCTTAACACATTCCTTACTCAACAGCATGACACTTCCTTAATCCTAATGCTTCAGTGACATTCTCAGCAGTACATTAAACAGCGTCTGGGCCTACCTGCTCCTCTTTGGTGTAGAGTTGAAAGCACTGGGCCAGTGAGCAGGTCTGCGGCTGCAGGTGCTGCTCCTTTGACTGACGCACACTCTCAGCGTCTGGGATGTATTCATCCTCAGTTCTTTTGAACAGGCTGCGGGGGCACAAGTCACAGAGGGGTCACTCAGACAGTTCAAAAAGACATTTACATATATTTGTGCTCTGAAAGAAGACGTCACAAATCTGCCCTGAGCGTATGTTCGATTGAGGCTTCAGATGTCACTTACTAGTCTTTCGTCTCCTTGTCCCATTCCACGACAATTTTGACATGAGGGGGCCCTCCAGGACCGCAGGACTTAAATGCCCTGTTAGAAATAAAATGAAGATAATAACTTATTGAATTTGCTGATGATACTGATATGAGTAGTAAGAGTACCGACTGTACTGAATCTAAGCAAGAAAGAGGGTCTATTTTCCTTTTTTTGTGTTAATATTCGTTTGGCAGCAGAGAAGCAAATGTCATTCTTCATTCATTTTCAAAATCCATACTACAGAGGTTGTCACATTGTCAGAACAAAATCTATAAAATAGGACTATTTTAGATCTCAGGAGATTATTTAAACATCAATACCACTGAAGAGTCTGCCTACATACTGTGGAGCTCTTCAATCAACTCTAAGTGGATTGAACTTACTGCAGGGTTTATATAATGACCATTTAAGTACAAACACTCCCCCCCGGTGGCAATAAGTGACATTACCTCTCAACTGAGGGGTGGCAGAGCGGCTGCTCCTCCTGAGGCAAGAGGTATGTGATCCCCACCACTCCCACCACACGCAGAGTGAAGGGCCCGACCTACAGAGATAAGACATTAAAACATGATAGTACCACCAGGCTGTCAGGAGGCTGAATTCTCTCACACACACACACACACACACACACACACACACACACACACACACACACAACACACACACACACACACACACACACACACACACACACACACACACACACACACACACACACACACACACACACACACACACACACACACACACACACACACACACACACACACACACACACACACACACACACACACACACACACACACACACACACACACAGCTATGGACAGTCTTACACTAATGTACACTTTTCAGAGATTTTGAAGTGACTGTTATTTTGTATATATTGATTGTCGTGCTTTTATTCATGTGTCTGTTGATTGTGTATATATATGTATATACACATTTTTATACATGTTTTTATATGTATTTGTATTTTTTATTCCTCGGGATTGTGGGAAACGGTATTTCTATCTCTCTGTCTGCACACACAAACTGAAAGATTGACAATAAAGTTGACTTTGTAATAAGAATAATAAACTCAGAGAGTAGGTGAGGAGTGTGTACCTGCACCAAGACGCCAGGGCGCAAAAGATGCCGCATCTTCTCCAAGATCTCTTTCTGAAGAACATCCCATGTCACCGTTCGCTCCAAATACAGAATGAATGGATTACCAAATCTGCAAAGACGAAAAACAGACCCTGATCAGTTTTAAAGATAACTTTTGAATAATGATTGAAACCTTTAAAAAGTGTCGTTTAATACCTGCGTCCCTGCTGTCCAGCGCAGGCTCGGTTACACACCAGCAGCACGATCTTCTCCGCCTGTCCGCTGTTCTTATTCGGACTCTGAGGCGGGGTGGTCGGCTCTTGTATCTGTGTGGATATCCGATTGTTATCTGTGCCGTACTTCAGGTTGTTCTGGTTGAGATTTGCATGTGGGCTCCCTGTAAAAAAAACACACAAAGATACAAATGTGAAACGTACAGGTCGGAGTCTGTGGCAGCTTCCTGGATAGAGCATTCCTCCATTATAAGTCCATTTCTCATTTAATCACAACTCCTGCCAGCGTAATAACACAAAGAGATAAAGTCATTTCTGGGGAACAAACAGGATGTTTTACCGCCGCGCTTGGAGCGGATCTGCTCCGGTCTGAATAGCTCAGGCGTCTCGAAGGCAAATATGGAGTCGCTCTCCTGAATGACCTCAAGGTCGTCGTCGTCGTCACAGAAGGAGCGGTGGAAACCGTCAAAGTACATTTCGGTGAGGACGATCTGAGCAGAGACGGGGAAGGAAAGCAGGGTAAGGCTTGCATTTGGATAAATTGTTTTGATAAACATTTGTAGAACATAAAATAACATGTAGTAGCAAAAAGAAAATGCAAGGAGGCTCTATATATGAAATACAGTACATACATGACAGAGACTATTTGAGAATTTATTTATTTCAATTTTTTGTACCTTGAACGTTTTTTTTTGCATCTCTTTGTTATTATTATTATTATTAAAAAGAAATTTAAATGTACAAAAATACAAACAGGACCAACAAACTCTCTCAAGACTCACAGAAAACACTCTTTGACCATCCAGTTTCCTTAAAGTAGCACTTAAGATCTCTAATCCTCTTCTAATCCTCTTATTTACATAAATGGCCTTTAAAATGGAGGTTTGTATTAAGACAGCACCTGTTGGGTAGGGATTTTGGTCTCTTGAGCCACAGCTTGTCTCAGCCTGGACACGGTGCCGGAAAGAGGCACCGCCACCCCCACTCTCATGCAGTGGGAGCACTTTCCCTGGTACACCACTGTCACATAGAGAGGCCTGCAACACATGAAACACAAATGTATCTCTTTGCATAAACACAGCTGCAGTGATGTTTCAAAGATGGACTCCTTCTTCTAATTTTAACTTCCTCCTGTCAGATCTTACATTGTTTCTGTCTACGCTCTGTTTGATGCTTCTTTTTCGTCCCAGGTTCAAACTAGGTCTTGTCCCGTTGCATTTTTAGGATGCAGGGACTTTTAGTTTCGTCTGATAGGTTTGTCTTACTGGTAAACCAGATGCAGAGTCAGCTTACCGTGTGTGAGGTACCGGGATTGGCAGTGAGATGCAGAGGAAAGGATCAAAGGTGTTGCTCTGTTTCTGGCAGTGAGGGCAGGTCAGCGAGGACCTACACAGAGACATGATGAGGATTAACAAATGCATCTAAAGTACTGTCAGAGTATCATTTTAGAGAAATAGTTCAATGTTTTGGGAGGTACACTTATACACTCAAGTATTAACATCTATTTTGTTTCATCATAACAAAAATGAATGTGTAAAACCAATATATTGTAGTGTACCAGGGGTTAGCGGCTAAACTATTTTATGCCTGGCAAACTCACGTGGATGACAAGACTCCAGGAAATCAAGCATACAACCTTACTAAAACCAAAGTGTTGCTTTTTGACAATACAATTGCCTCAAGTTCTGTATGCAATTTTTTAAGAAGGCCATTGGACATGGTCAAAAGCTCTGGAAAAAGCTAGTTGATTAACCTTAAGTTTAAGCTACTTCTATTCTATTTTATTGTATTTACTTGCACTAGGTTATCTGTTTTATTGTGTTGCAGGAGGAGCCTGGGACCTAAGATTTTCATCGACATAACTACACTGTAGCTATGTACGAATGAAAATAAAATCCTTGAATCTTGAGTATGTTTTATCACAGAGTTGTGTGTTATGTGTCTCTCAGAATGTTCCCTAACAGTTGTCCTTTTCTGTATTGACAGTCTCTGTAAACCAAATATAAACTATCATTTGAAAGTCTCACCTGTATTGTGCCTGAAACAACTCCTGTACAAAAGAGCCAGGTGCTGGTAGTGGAGATCCTTCAGGGGCATTTTCCTCTTCTACTGGAGGCTAGGGAACACAAAATGACCATATATATATATATGAAATATAAGAAGAAAAATGCCGAATTAGGACTGTAATTGAGTAAATGTACTTAGTAACTTTCAATAACTGTTGTAAGTTGCCGTTTACCTTCGTGGGGGGCACGATTTCAGGGTGGATGATATGGTTGAGGTCTTCGTGGACTCGATCCAGCAGCCAGAGGAGGAACTCCTGGGCGTCGTGCTGGGAGTTACCCTTGAACTGCAGGGCGCTCTTAGACACCACATTCTGCAGCGGGACAAACAAATCGTGGTTACATACGGCTCCTAAAACAGAAATGGTTTTGTTGACATCATAAAATATTCAACGCTTCTGACCAGGATGATGATCAGCACAAACAGAAAGGTCAGCAGAGGGTGGTGGGGAGACGCAGGCAGGCGCGGAGAAGCTTTTAAAAACCATGAGGCGAGCTGAAAATCGACAGGGTAACCTCACTGACAATTAGCTACAGGAGATGACAACAGTGTGTTCTCTATGTAAACACCCAGGCTGGCAGCTATAAGGTCACCTCTACCGCCAATCAAATGTCACGCAAGGTCAAAGATACGAGGGGACTGAGCACCATGTGCCTCTCACAGCCTTTCCCCTGGGACTTTCTTCCTCATTCTGAAGGCTTTACCAGTGCAGACTCAGCATTTTGTACAAGGAGCAAATAATGAACTAGCCTTCCTTCTGTGGCTTGGCAACAGAGGGTTGTCTTCAAGTAAAGGTCTGTAACTGGAAGCTGTGAATACTACTCTATTGAAAAGACAATAAACTATTTAGAGATGCATGCAGTGAGTGAGATGCGGACTGAATATTAATTCAATATTTGTATAATGCTGTATAATTCTCTCAAGGTTTTGGTAAAAAATGTAAAGTGTAAAAACATGGGTCTGATGCTTTGTGTAAATGTTATAAGTTACAAATCATGATATGCAATAGTACAAACAAATAGGGAATGATGAAACTGAGTACTCTTTACAAATATCCATTTTTTTAAATCAGATTATCATTGAGTTCACCCAAAATAAAGGAGGTATTTTCTAGATGAATTGGTGTAAATTGTGAAAAATGTAGATTTCTGTTTCTCAAAAACCACGATGATGTCTTGTCCAAAACCAAAGATGTTCACTTTGATTTCAAATAAAACGGATTAAAGCAGCAAATCATCATAAGCAAGGAGTGGTATCAATCTAGCTAATATGGAGCAATTCCTTCAAGAAAGAAAACAGCAAATCATCATCATTGAGAGGCTGAAAACAGCATTTTCTGCCTTTTTTGCATGAGACATTACTTTAACAATTGATAACTGATCCAAGTTGGAAGTTATTTTTCTGAATATTAACTTCAGGTGTTAGTTAAGAAAATGAAATGCCTCAAAAAATATATATCACCCACTGATTTCAGCTACCTTGTTGTTTACAGACTACCACATCTATCACTGTCAAATACAACTTGTAAATGTCTCTCTTGTTCATCACAATGAACGTGAATGTAGATCATAGCTCTAAGACAACTTAGACAATGTACAAAAACATAATCCTGAAACAGATTGCTTCTGGGAGAACATGGACTCTGACACACAGCGATAATTCCCCTGTGTTATTGTACGGATGTCTTCCTAATGATCTTTAAGTGCTCTCAGTTTAGGCTCACATTGTGGTCTGAAGGAAAGAGGCGCAAAACCGTCACATGTGCATACTGAGCTCTAATGTGCACTAACCAAAAGAAAAGCATGTTGGCTAAAGTTTCTACAGCATGAACATATAAGGAATGATCCAGTTAGAAACGTTAGGATGTTACAAGCCAAAAGTAATCACCATGAGCAGTCAAACAATAAAAGATGAATCACCATTAGCTTTATGATGTCCTGACAGTATTTTTAGTTTCCACAAATTAGATACTAAATGTGACATATTGTTTATATAAAGCTCCTGATAGTCTGGGGACGGACTCTATTTTTCGACTGAGTTCAAAAACATTCAAGGCCTCTCAGACGGGAGAGTATAATCTATATCCAATCAGACAGTTTGTACTTTGGCTGGCAACCAAGGTAGAAAAAAGTGGACAGAAATAGTAACTCATTTCAATTTAGCTTCCCTTTGATGAGTATTTTGAACTTTTGAAAGAAGAGAATAAGACAAGAATGCTTCACTGTTGCGTAAGAACAAACCTTTGTGACTATGACAAGCACAGTTTTAAGTGCGAGGAGCGATGGAAAAGCAGGCGAGGCCGCAACAAAAGCTGATAAATGTGGGACAGACAATAAAGCAAATCCAAAAACAGATGAGACTCAGATCTAGGGCTCAGGTGAGCGGCTAGAAGTGACACAGAAAAACAGACTTCACCTGTTCATTAGGATTTCTATCCTATAAAAAGGCTTATTGTTAGCCCACATGTTACATAATCCGTAATCAGGTGATTGTGATATGTACTGGAATCTGATTCCTGACCAGAGAAAACTACTTGTTATTATATAAAATATGAAATAAGATAACAAAGAACAGACTTGACTAGAGGTTTGTTCAGCAGTCACTCAAGGCCAGTGCATATTCACTCAACATCCTTTCTGCAAACATTCTAAAAAAAATAGAATATTTCATGATATAAGATCAGACTGATATTCAGATGTTCTATACTAAGCAGTGGGACTAAAGCATCTGCATTTAGAGTTATTCATGTCAGTACAGAACATATGTTTTCTACTTATTGTTTTTTAAATGTAGGCTTGCACAACATAGTGTTTTCTTATGCTACTGTTCACATATGTTATATATAATGATTAAAGGTAGTATATAGTGAACTGCTATCCAATAAGGTAATATGTAATAGTAACACCAATGACTTCTTTTAGACTATGCTCACATGGACCTGAAATGACTAACATTGAAGCTGGGGCTACTGACAGCAAATGAAAACAACAACAACGCTATTAACTTGAGAAGACCATCATCACCTGACATCTCAGTGTGTTTCAGTCCCTCAGTGAGAATTAAAATAGATCAGAGGCAGTGAAGGCACAGGGAAACTTTATTTTAGTCAGGATTTGACATTTATATAGTTGTCCTAATCCTGCGTGTTACTTGCACTATGTTACTGCACTCTTTTACTAAATAATGGTATGTTGCACTGTTATAACTGTTGTGCATATATGATAACACATTTGAGTCTTTGAATCTTGATTCTGGGTCAATATGCACTAAAACCATAACTAAGGACATTTACTGAAGTACTGTGGCCTACTTAAGTAAATGTACCATTTGAACATACTTTCTACTGGCATTTCCATGTTATGCTACTCTTTACTTCTACTTAATTACATCTCAGGAGCAAATATCGACTCGTTACTTCATTTATTGAATACTCATTACTTGTTACTTTAAACATATAAAATATGTAACATATTGACATGATGCAGTACAATACTACTAATGAACCCAGAGGTCTCTTGACAAATTCAAATACTTATGTATTGTAGGTGATAAAGGCAGAATACAATATATCTAATAATATACTACTGTGAAAAGAGCTATTCTGCATCACAAGTAACACTGTTGCTATTGAGCTGATAATACTTTTGTAAACACTGAGTATCTGAATTCAGAGCTTTTACTTGCAATGGACTTGTAATTGAGTATTTTCAGATTGTAGTATTTCTACTTGTACTGTAAGGATCCGAGTACTTCTTCCACTACTGCTTAACATCTACCCCTATATCTCCATATGAGAACATTGTGTCCTTTAGGTAGTTGTTGTGTGATTCTTTTAGAACCCATTTCCCCCCCAAAACCCTCCTCAGACACACAGTGAGCCCCCCTGCATGATGCACAGCCTACCTTGAAGTCCCTGCTGTGCTGAGGTGTGTACTCAAAGGTCCAGAGAGCCCGCACCAGGCCGGACAGCTGCTCCGTCACCTCCCCTGCGTCCTGCTGCTGCTGCTGGCTGCCCTTCTTCTGCACCACCAGCACCCCGTTAGACTTGGCCTTCTCGCTGCTGCTGCTGGTGGACTCCCCGCCTTTGAACTGCTCCAGAGCCAGGTACTCTGCGAACAGCTCCGTGTTGCTCAGGCACTGCAGGATAGCGTTCATGAAGCAGGTGTTCCCGTGGTTCTTGAGCCCGGCTACACCTGGCACCTTGTCCCCGAAGGGAAACCCCCCGCAGTCGCTGTCGTCGGACGGCAGAGACCCCCCGGTGGTGGTGAGGATCGAGCCGGCATCGTCCTTCTCATCCTCGGCGGCCTGCTCGTCGGTGCTGAAATGAGACAAAGTGGACAGAGTCCGGAGAACTCTGTTCATAAAACTCCCGACGGAGCGGACCGAGCTTCTCCGGAAGAGTTTTTTACTGAAGGATTTCTTCTCCTTGTTACTGACAACTTTCGACATTCTGGTGGCTTTTTTTCCCGCTTTTAAATTCCAGAAAATCCCCCCTTTTTACTCAGAGTCTCCTCACCCCCCTCCATGCAGTGTTTCACTTTATGGTGTTTTTTTACGCAAGGCCCGAGCATATTTCACAGAAACACAAGAGGCCTGGCAGTTTGTGGGGATCATAAGCTATCACATGGAGACAGTGCTGGAGTGAAATCAGCCCACTTGCAACACTGCGTCGGATTGCATAAACAGCCTCCATGGAGAGCCGCTGTCAGGGAGCTTTACGCGAATGATCTGGGTCGTCCCGCACCAGCCAGCAGCCATCATCATCATCCCCCTCGCTCGGTCCGGTGACATAACATCACCTGTGTCATTGTTCACACGCGAAAACAAGGCGCTGTGGGGCGAGTATCAGTCAGACATAAACATCAAATTAGGCTGAGCGGAATTCCTCATAATTTATTAAAGAAACCGCAGCTCCACCCTGTTAAAAGACATGTCTTCATCATCACATCCACGACGGTGTTGAAAACGGATCCTTCTGGTGGTGTTTACCCCGTGGATGTGTTCCCTAAATCGCCTTCACAGTGCCCCTGCCAAAGTGCCGAGGAACAGCCGGAGCGGAGCGCCACAGTCCGCCGCTCCCTCGCGTCTCGCCGCCGCGGAGCATCTCTTCGCCCGCCAGATGTGAAAGGTGACCGGTCCCCATCCGTAAGTGGTTTTTCCCCTCCGTGTCTCACTCTCCGTCTGTGCGCTTTAATTCCTCCCCCGGATGGGATTCATGGCGAGGCCGCTTCTCCCGACTCCATCATCATCTGTAGGCAGCGAGGATACTGCAGGCAGGGCGGTGACGGCTGACGTCAGGGCCAAACACGGTCCATGTTGGAGGAGCAGGTACACGGCATGTGATGCTGATGATGCTCCGATCTGGACCAAGTGCACTCTGATGCGAGCCAGTTGTAATGGTCATACATTATCCCACCATTTACAGGGAATATAAAATGGTGTAACTATATTTCTACAGCTCGAGGCTAAAACACAAACAATGGTTAGTGTCACAGTAGTCCTGTCCCTTTAAGAGTTTGATTTTATTGTTGTACACATTGTCAGGTATTATAAATAGCTATTGTTCCAAAAAACGTGTCTTAACATTAATATTCATTGTATTACATCTACAAATAACTAATTCATTGTTTTTATTAAAATAGTGATAAATGCCCGTCACTATTAACTAAACTAAATTTGACAAACGGTCTAAAAATCTAAAGATATCCAATCTTCACAAACACCAAAAAGCAGCGACATTAGGAAAGCTGAAACAAGGAAATGTGGCATTCTTGCTTGAAAAAGATAAATCATTAAATAAATCAGCTATCAAACTAGTTTATCTCAATAAACTACCAGTTTTCAGCAATCATTTTAATTATTTTGTAGTTTAAAATGGTCCCAAAAAATAATAATCACCCAATCAGTCAGTATTTTTAGCACTACTTCAGATGTCCTATTTTAAGCATTTCCCAAAAATATGAAAAGCCCATTTTGTCACTGTTATCAGTCAAGCGTCTTACCTGTTTGTTAAGTATCTTTCTGCATATGTTCCCGACAGTTCACTTTCACAGACAGACGTTTCACGACTTGAAGGTGAAAATACATTTAACATCTTTAAAGAACAAAGAAGGCGACATGCGGAACTTGTGAGAAATAAATAACACAGACAGTTTAACCAATTGAGGATACCCAAAATAAGGATTTAGCAGATAAGGCCATACATTATAAACTGGATTTATTACATTACAAATCCACCCCAGTCCCTATTTCATCTAGCGGAAGAAAACTGATTGAAAAAGTAACACAATAGGCTCTATTTAGTGTCAATGTTTTATGTACAAATTATTATGATACTGCATGGAAAAAAAAGCTCACCTTCACCTTAACTTTGGAAGTAAACTGCCGAGTTTACAGAAAACAATACAGCTCATATCAGAGATATTACCTTAATTTAATATAATAGATCAATATATTTTCTTACAAATGATCAACAACAAATATATCAGTCATATAGATTTAAAATGCTGTCAAACATCCCCTGATGTATATAATGTTAGCTCGTTAGATGCAACTTAAAATAATGCAGAAATGAAATACGTTGAGTCAAGAGACTTGACTTGAAGGCAGTATCACCGTTGGACATTCAAAGTCACAAAAAAAAAATCAGTATAAAAAAGTCTGAACCACCCTAATTTCAATCTTTAAACATTCTCATAAATGCAATTCCTATTTATCTTATCTTAAAATGCTCTACATTTGAGATTAAAAGGGACTGTAACAAGTAAACCAACCATTGATATCACATTATTCTTCATTTATCCAACGTCCCGAGTGCTGCTCTCTTTTACCTACGGTCCTTTATTCTCTTCCTGCTGTTAGTAGTCGATGTGCCGGACAGCGGCGATGGTGGAGGCCAGCCGGCGGGGCAGCAGTTTGGCAGTTTGTCTGAAGTCTTCTGGTTTGGCCCTCAGCAAGGTGACGATGTGCTGCAGGCCGCGGGACGGCTGCAGGCCCAGAGCGTCCATCACGTTGCTCAGATAGTCTGTGGAGTGGACACCAGTCATCAATACATTTTTTTTTAAATCCTGTGACCCTTAGAGTGGTGCAGGAATTATGTATTTGTATAGACCGGACCAGAAGTTAGCATTGCACTGGCTCTCACAAATAAAAAGCCAATGGGATTTTTCATTGGATTTTGGCAGAAAATACACTTAAACACACTTTAATGATCAGCAGGATAATCTCCACAAATTAAAACCACTTTTTTTTGGGTGAAAATCAATCAACTCAAGTTAAAAGTAAGGCTATAAAAACAGTACACCCAGGTAGCATAACTCACATCAACCCAACATAGCTAAAGGTGGACATGTGTTCAGTGTGATGAAGTTTAGTAGTCACATATATCACCTGTTTAAACCACATAGCTTCTGATATTTATAAGTATATGTCAGATATTTATAAGTATGTGTATGTACTGGCGTATTTTATGTCTTAAAACAATCAAATATCTTACACCTGTTTGAACCACAGACCTTATTTCTGCACGAGACAAGAGAAACAGATGTGCTAAAATGCTAACTCTTTTCCGTAACAAGACTTGCTAACTATATGCGTCTGTCCCTCGTTCTGGTTAGTGTACCGATATCTGTGGCCAGCTGTTTAGTGGAATGGGGGCCCAGCTGGGGGATGAGCAGGATGGAGTCACAGTAGGTCTGCATGGTTGCCCGGGCGATGGAGCCCAGCCAGTAATCTGCAGTGTTGTCCAGCTCGGGAAGATCGTCGCCTGAGACAGAAAACAGGTGAGGCTTTAAAAGGTGTACAGAGTGTAAACAGAAGTGGTATGAGGTAGATACTATTTTAGGCAGATAGGGAGTTTGAATTAGGTTGGCAGGGAGATATAGATACTGAAGATACAGGATAAATGTCAACATTATGTGAAATAGAAAAGGTAAAAACATTTCCATGGCCGATTGGTGTGTTATTTAGTACTTTTTTGTTTGTTTTTGACATCATCTTGTACTCAAAGAGGATTGACTTTAACTTTTTAAGGAAAAGGAAAAAACTGGACTTGCCACTGAGGAGTCAAAGTTACATTGCTCAGTTTGCTCTCTTTAAAAAAAAAAAAATCTATATATATTTTATAATTTGACCATTAATTCATTGTGTTAAGTGACTCTTACTCACTTTCAATATTGAGGACAACAGAAAGCCGTTTCAAGCTGAAGGTAAATACCGGAAAGAAAGAAGGCTGACGTAATTGGAGGAAAGGGAGCAGGGAGAAAAATAAATATCATGTGGAGTGTTAGATTGAAAAGAGGATGAGGGTTGTTATACAGACACCTTGCTCTGGAGGGAAAGGCAGCTTCCCAGCATGCAACGCCATCTCTAGTGCCGGGTCCTCCTGAGTCACAAATGGCTCCAAGTGGAGAGGCAGAGACATCAGGTACTGACCAATCTGGAGGGAAAGACAGACAGACATATAGTTTGATACAACATCATCATTTGAAATCAGTTATATTACATGTTACAAGGCATGTCCTGCTTTATATTTATTGATCAGCACTGCACATTTAATTCAATGTCATGTTTTATGTTAAACCAAGCTGGACTAACATTTGTAATGTACTCCTGCGGGGACAGGCTGAAAGTCGGCAGGTCCTCTGTGTAGCTCTCTCCAAACCCAGATTCCTCTTGTCTCTGAACACAAACACCGGGGGAAGAATCAAACAGTGTGAGGTTGGATTAAAATAGACATAGCACGCCCCAACACTCAAACGCACACAGTCCTAAAGCTCTCTGCAATGCACTCAAATCAGTATTTCAAATCTAATCATGTAGTAACTTGACACTTAATCACCTCCATCTTGGAGACGAGGCAGAGCTGGTGTTTGATTTGCAGGAAGACGGAGTCGAAGGCCAGCTGGTTGGCCTGCTGGTTGAGTCTGATCAGAGCTGCTCTGGGCTCGACTAACAGGCTGGAGTTACCTGTGCCCTTCTCCTGCAACACAAGGGGAAGAATATGTGAACAAAAGCTGCAGAGTCCTCTATAAATCACCAGATAAGATGCAACAGTTCATTTAGTCAGGTCTCTTCATAGGAAATCGTCAACATTAACCATGCACCACAATACACGCTCCATACCTTTAGGGAGAAGAGAACTTCCATCAGGCTGTTGTATTCGGCCATGTTTCCCCTCTGAAGGTAGTTGTACTCCTGCCAGGGGTTCTTGGTGGTGCTCCTCCTGTCTGTGGAGCTGGCCTCCTGGAGGCCTGCCAGGCTGCGTGGGCTGTACGAGTCCGACAAATATTTACCTGCCGAGCCCAGGATCCTGTGGGAAGCATTGATTGTATTAAGATCATTAATGTAATTCGAAAAATCTGACATTGTGCCTTACATGACTCACACCCAGAGAGGAATGCTCTAGGGTGAAACAACCACAACATTATGACATTTAAGCACTCTTACCTGTTTGACAGCTGCTGCTCAAAGGCTCCACATTGTCTTAGCAGTTCTCCACAAGTGGCAATAATCCTGCAAAACACAACATATACCGTTCATCCATTAATACATGTTCTGCCAACTGGAGGCAGCATGTTAAGCAAGGAAGGCAAGACTGTTCCTCTCTTCAGCAGAGTGTCTCAGACATACAATTATTATGGATGTTAATAACCACCCTCAAGGTCTTTCCATCGATGTGAGGGGTCTTTCAAGTTAACTTATAGCACTTTTCCACTGCAGGACCTAGCACGGCTTAGTACAGTATGGTTAGGCCTTGGTAGGCCAGGCTCAATTTATGCTGCGTTTCCATTACAGTTTAGTACTGGGGTAGTAACTATAGTAACGCAGTGTAGGCGGGGTGATCGGCTGTTCGGCGGGCGGAGCGACGCTGTGTAAAACTGCCGTGACGTCATCTTCAATGCGAACCACAAAACCAAACATCAGCCGTTAGCTGTTAGCCCTCAGAGCTCAAAGCTCCTCATATCTGTTCAGAAACTAGACAAAAGTTAAACAAGTACAAACCACAGACTGTCTGTGTCATGGTGAATACAGTCGCTGGTTCATTTATGTCTGTAGGCCGTTGTTGTGAGTGTGGACGGAGCATATACAACGTTAGCTGACCTGATCGATCCGATCTCCATTCAGAAAACACGCATTTGAAAAGGTTTTTCGCCTGCCGTCTGTCTGCAGACTTGTCAAAGCATTAATTCATGGTTTTTACTAACCGGTATCAGTATGTTGTTACTTCGGCATCATTTTTGAAACGTGTATTACAATTAAATCACGGTAAAATATGTTCATTTTGTTGTAGTTGTAGCCCCCTTGCCAGCGATTCTCTCTGACCATTCAGCAGTCGAGAGTGTTGACGTCACTAGTTTAGCATATTCAGCCCGGTTGTTGGCCCGGTAAGAACCTCGATTTTGGAGGGCCAGAAAAAAGGTGAAAAAGTAGCCCTGAGCCGGAACTACCCCTAGTGGAAAAGCAAAAAAAAGCCGGCCAAACACGCTTAAACTGTGCTACGTGCTGCAGTGGAAAAGCGCCATTAGTAATACAAAAATCTGTTTCCTAATCGTCTCAAATGTATAAGAGGAAATTACCTGACAGAGTTCTGAAAAGCTGTCCAGTCCTCCTGGAAAACAGAAGAACTCTGCGTTTCCTCCAGTTTACACTTCTTCCTGATCGACTGCAGGGTTGTGGAGAAGTCCGACATATACCTAGATCAAGCACAATGTTAGAAAAATCAACTAAAATAAGCTCCACATCTACAACTGATAAGGCAAATTATTTTTAGTAGATGGGTTATAAGTGTGAGATATTTACTTGGTGAAGAGAGCTTTGAGGGCTTTGAGGAGGCCGCACACAGCCAGTCCGTCTGTCAGTTTGACGCAGCGGTCCACAGCAGCGCCGGCCAGGCCAAACAACTTCCCTACAGAGTGGCTCAACTCTTCCACACAATCAATAACCTCCCCATGCTCCTAAAGAGAGGAGAGAACATGGAGAGTGAAACGAGAAGTGGCCCAAACAGAGAAATACATTGAAATATGAAGTAAATCAGATAAAAAACAGTTGGAAAAAGGTTTTATTTAATGTATTATTTGAAGTGTGTGTGGTGTCTAACCAGAGGTACAGCACTGATCTGGATGAGCAGGTGGGCTTCCTCCAGGTCTCCGTACTGTAGCTGATAAGGCTTGTAGGGGTCATACAGCGAGCACACCAGCTCAGTCACCTTCAGCAGATTATTCTCACCTGGGGGAGGAAACACAGAACATAAGGACACAACTCCCTCTACATCTGAACTATCTACAGTCATGTCTGTTATAATGTACAGACCCAGGTGTGGCAGCATGGCGGCCTCCAGGCTGTGTCCGAAGGTGGAGGTGGTGTGATGGAGCTCCAGCAGCGTGTCGAGGCGCTGCTCCTGGGCTGACCGCTCCAGAGCCGAGCTCAGGCACACGGGGATGGAGGGCACCATGGCCCCCAGAGTCTGGATCAGCAGCACCGTCACCACCTCGTACGGGTTCTTAAAAACCTGAGGAGTTGCAGTATAACGTGAACAGAATTAAAAGAGCATTCTGAGGGACAGTGTTTATAGAGGTTCAAGGTTCAAGGCTTTTGTTGTCATTTGTAGAAGATACAGTGTAGTTATGTCAATGGAAATCTTAGGTCACAGGCTCTTCCAACAGTGCAACACAATAAAACAGATAAAATAGTGCAAGTAAATACAAATAAAATAGAATAGAAATAGAAATAGTGCAAGAAGAGTCTATATACAAGTAATTGGAATATGATATATTAGATAAATAATGTGTAAGTTGCAAACAGATGAATGTTATGGATGTTCTTTTAAAAGTTCAGGAAAAAAAAGAAAAAATTTAGACTGCAACAATTGCCGTTATCACGCTATATAAATATTTAATTTGGTGTTGCACTTATTGTTACCAATCACTATCCAGCCCTGTCAAATAGTGAGTCAGGGTAGAAAACCAAATGTTTTTTCACAAGGCATTTTCGGATGATTTTTGCAGTGAAATTTGAATAGATTTTCCTACACAACAATACATGTTTTTGTAGTTTACTTTACTGTGTTTTAGGGGAAATATCTAAAATATGTGAGCAATTTTGTCCTTTTCCCTTGATTATTTCTGACACTATACTATGTTAACACTGTAGGAAGTTAACCAATGCTTCTGGTACTGCAGGGTGACTGACCTGGCTGCTCCACTGTAGTTGAGAGTGCCACGAGGAGAGCAAGGTGTCGTAGAATTCAGACAGCTGCTGATTCAGACTGAGCTCGCTCTGAGAGAGATCCTGCCACATGCTCACCAGCTGACCCTGGAGAAGCCACAACAAACATGTAAACACATCAGAGAATATGATTTTTCTCAAGATCATTCTTAAGGTTATGGAGAGGCCTGTAACACTGACCTTGTGACACTTGTAGTAGTAGGCAAGGAGCTGTGGCATCCTATCTATCTCTGTGAAGACTTTAACAAACAGCTTGGCTTGGTCTGCAGAAAAAAAACACATAGAATTAAACTTAAATGAACTACAGGGGACAAAAACTGAACGATGGAATAAATCTTAGAAATACTGGTTTGACTGGGTCTTACCTAGAGACATGGAGTTAAAGGTTGCTACTATCTGAGGGCTGGCCAGAGCTTCCAGTCTGTTCTTCAGAGCCTCCAGGTGGACACACTTCTCAGAGTAGTCTGGAGTGTCCACCAACATGGCCAGACTGTTCTGCATGCTGGTCAGCTTGGAGGAAATGACTGCCATGTCCTGGAAAAGGAAGAGAACATAACTGAGTGAACGTACACAAAACAATACCTTAATATTCTATTATAAAAGACACAAATTAAACCGTCAGTCAAATTATCTTTAATTCCTCTTGACCGAAATCAAATCAGTTCAAATTAAGTGCCTGGAAAATTGCTTGATTATGTTAGAGGTCAATTTACAAATGCATGGGCTTCCTGTCCACTACAATGAATTATAACTATTCTTCAAAAACAAAACCACTTCTAAAAAGCAACAAGTCTTTCATTTATACTTTTTTAGTATTTTTTTCACATTTATATTCTTATTTGCTTCTATTCTATATTTATGTTTCTAGTTTTGCTTTAAGGACATTTCCTTTTATGTTAAAACCTAAATTGCAAAGATTCTAATTTAAATCAATGTTTAACAGACGTTTATTGTAAAAATAATATCCCATTCCAAAACTGTAATTTAATGGACAATTATATGGTTGTCAGTCTGGATGAGCAGCAATGTCTCATGATCACAGAGCAGCAAGCCAGACACAAATATAACGAGAAGTCCTGTGGCGATGTCTTTCATGTGTACCTGTGTTTTGAAGGTCTCCTCGATGTCTGCACTCAGTGTGCTCCATTTGTCGGCCTCCTGCAGAGCTTCAGCTGCCAGCTGCATGCGGCCCTTCACTTGATCGATCTCCACCAGGACCTGAGGAGTAGGAATCACACAATGTGAAAGCCATATCTAAGAAATATCCTCATGCACCCTCAACATACTGCAACTGTCAAGCTTTGAGCAGCAGTTTTTTTTCAATAATATGACACCAGGTAAAGATTTGTATTATTATTATTTTACATGCATATGTAGTAATGACATAGTGATGTAAACACACACACACACCTGCATAGACTGCACAGTGTCTTGCTCAAACTTCCTGATGTCCTCCTTGACCAGAACCATTTGCTCCTTGAGGAAAGAGGCCTCCTGTTTCAGAGCCTCCACGTCCCGCAGCACTCTGGGCATGTTCTGGAGCGCCTGGTTACTGCTCTCTGCACACAGACAAACAGCAGAGGATCAGTTAGTAAATACATAACAAGAAAACTAAAACTGGGAATTGGGTTTCTACAACAACATCAAATGATTGTTAAGGAAGGAAAACAACTCACTATTTCAGTGACTCTGGCCTATCATGTAGATTGCATGGAGCAAAGTCCCAATAAATGAATCCGAGCAGAAAATGCAATACCGACATAGAATAGCATTACAAATAAGTAATTATACAACTGTTTTCAAGAAGTGTTTTTTCATCTTTACAGTCATGTTGGAAGCGTTTTGTGATGTAATGCACCATAATTGATGTTGTTTATCATTTTTAAAGTCTACCCTGAGTGACACAAATAGGGATCAACTTTCAATGCATTCAATAACTAAGGAGTAATGCAATTCAGTAGATTTATAGACTTCTTGCACTATTTTTTATTTGTATTTTGAAATTTTATTATATATGTTGCATAGTTGGAGGAGCTCGGTTCATAAGATTTTCATTGCCATTTCTACCCTGTAGCTTGGCCGGCTGTCAATAAAACCTTTGCATCTTGTATCTAGTAATGGGCGTAAATCTGTTTTATTAAGACAGGCAGCATAAGATTAGACTAGCTCTACACCAGAAACCGGAAACGGAGTGATTAACCTCCCACTTGGTGCATCTAAAACAAGACATCCTACAAACTGTGAACGTGGCGTTAAAGCAAAATGTCATAACACTTTACTTTAAGCTCTTACCCTCAATGGCATTGTTGACTTCCTGGATGAAGAGCTGCAGTTTCATCACCAGAGTGGCTGCGTGTGTGTCCGCCTTCCCCGGAGCGTCCTTCTGCACCACCTTGAAGGCTCCGTTCACCCAGTCTTTCACATCAAATTCATCATCCAGGAACTTAGAGAAATCCATGTTCCCTCTTCACTTTCTCCCCAGTGCAAGAAGCTGGTGTTCACTCAAACTCTTGTGGTGCAGTGCAGTCTGTGTCATCGACCCATTGCAAACGCTAGCTAGTTTTTCCCAAACAATGGCTTCGACACAAATATAAAATAAATAGCCCAGGAAAATGAAATTATCATTACAACTAAGTATAGCTCCAGCAAGGCGACGGCTTCCTCCAGAGTTGTTTTTTAATGTCTACGGCTCTAAAAAGAGAAAAGTAAAGACATGTTTCTGTGTGTTTGATGCTGGCAGAGCTAATGCTACAGACGCTTGACAACAACTTCCTCTTTGTGCTTTCTGTTTACCTTCCCCGGAAACCAGCGCCGGAGCGGTTTCATCGACTTTTTCAAAATAAATATATATCTTTTTTAAATGTCAAGAGAAAGACAACAGTTCGTCTACCAACAATTATAATGTTTAAATAAATAAACGAGTATAAATCACATTTGGTGTAGAAAAAAAGGAAAACGGGAACATATTCAACGGTTAGTTTATAGCAGTGTCACACATAAGTATGTCCGTGCAGAAACGTCATTTTTCTAATGGGCTTTTTGTTGGTGTTCCTTAAGGCTTTGTGATGCCCCAAACAAATCACATATTATATGTTAAAAAAAACAATAGGAGTATACGTTTTACACTACTTGTGTAATTATGTGTTGATTTAATAACTTTATAAACGGTATATCATGAATGTATTCACTTTGCTTACCTCTTGAGGCAACAATCATACAAACCAGTCATGATACACAGCTAGTGGAGCTATAAATGACTGCTTTAACTGTATCTTTAGGACTATGGTCCATTTACTAGAGCTGCAACAATAAAAACGGTAATCCTCAATGTGCCATAAAAGTTTGTGCATCAATAAACTATAACACTGCATCAAATATAGTACATTATAGTATACATTGCAAATTATTCTTTGGGTGATCTTGGGTAGCTTAGTTTTTATAGATTGTGTCTAGAAAACTTTGAAAATGAAGGACGGATAGTATATTTATGTATTTGTAAAATGGCATTTGATAGCAGGAAGCATTTGGCACACATAGGTCACTAAAATTGTCAAGGAGCTATAGGAGATCTGCTTTTGCTGTAACCTGTGTTCCACGTCGGCAAAACCAGGACTCTCATTCTAGGTTATCTGCTTCAGTGGACGTTTGTCTCTTCACACAATAAATGAAAAATATGCAAAACAGAAAAGCAGTTAAAGCCTTGAAAGTGGAGGTGGAAGGCAGTAACTCAACTGAAACCACACCTCAACCAGTTTCTAGCAGCTGTCCACGAGGATATTCATAAGAAAGGTATTCCAACTGCTCTTCAACACCTTTGAAAAGATGGGAATAATAAATAGTATTAAGGAAACGCTGTCCAAGGCTGTGTTTACTCCTTCATCTCTGTTATCCCGTCGAGGCGGACTTCACATGGCTCAGATCCTTCTGTCTCTTGTCACCTTTCTACTGTCTGCCTTCAGAGGACAAAGTACCCACTCATACTGGAACTATGCTATGTTCACCTGGGCCTTCTGCCCCATCATGACCCTCATCATCACCATTATTGAGATGTTCAAGCTGGACATCGTACTCATATTGTGCCTGGACTGGCCTGACTTCACCACAGGCATGGCCATGTCCTCCACCCTCATGACCGTCTCTGTCGCCATCACATTTGTCAACTTCTACGCCTGCCTGACGTGCTTTTATAGCCTAATAATCTGTTTGTTCGCAATCTTGGTTGGCGTTGCGTACACACTTGAAGTGGTGAAAGACAAAATCTGTGACAAGAAGAAAGGGAGCTACCTGGCCGTTCTGCCTGGATTCTTCAAGGTTTTGGAGGCGTTTGTGAGCTGTATGATTTTTGTCTCACTGACCGGTTACAGAGACAAGCCGGCGCTGATCATATGTGTAATCGCCTACATCATTCCTTTCCCCATCCTCCCTCTAATCATAGCCACCAACATGCTGAAGAAACTGAAGACGTGTTTGCCCTTTAACCTGGACAGATTTGTGTTTATATTCCTGGTGATTTCAGTTGTGCTTTATATTTTTGCTGCTATTGTGTGGCCTATTTTTATGTTCAGGAATAACCCTCGGCCCAGTGACTGCCCCCCCAGCTACTGTATCTGGGCCATACAGTTCATGGTTGCATTTTTTACCTACGTCAATCTTATTTTGTTTTCAATCGACCTCGTTTTCACCCTGCTTGGTATCTGTGGCTTTAAGCGCACATAGTGGTGAGATTCCTATCCCAATATGACCTATAACGACAAAAATAATGTATGATAAATACAACATCTTCCCATAGCATTACATTGTGTGTACGCGATCATTTTCTAGCCTATGAAAGATTTCTAAGCTTTGTCGGCCCTTAAGGTAGTCTCATTTTTGGATGTCTGTTTTAATAATAATAATAAAACACTGATCTGCTTGTGTATACATTTTTTCTATGAAATATTGTTTTGCATACTTTTTTAGGTAATTGACGGATAAATGATGCCATGCTTAAAAAGCCTTTCTTGTTGATTTCTTTATGAACATGGATTTGAAATGATGTCTATAAAACAATGAAGCAAAGCGGTGTTTAACCAGAGTAGACAATGCAGTCTCCTCCATATTTAATCATTTAAACATTTTTATTGTAACTTAATATAAGTAGACATTTGACAGTTGCCACAATGTTTAATTCCCTCACAGTTAACAATAGTTCAGGGCCAGTATATTTAAATCAGCTAGGGACAGTATATTCAAATCTCACAATAGGGATGCGAGGACTCTGAGATAGTGAATGCAAATTTCATGGCAAACATTCAGAGCTATGAAATGGAAATCAACTACTGTATGGACAATAATGTATTCACACACTATTTTTAAATCTTATTACAAGGGGGGAAAATGGCATATAGAAACAATGCTTCACAGTCCAAAAGACATCAGGGGTCCAGTTTTGACGACAGTGGGTGAGCACCTTCAGGCCTCCTCGAACTCGGCGGTCTCCAGCAGACCCTGGAAACAGAAGTAGTGGGAGTTGCAGAAGACGGGAGGTTTGTTGGGAGACGAGCCTACCACTTCTGGTTTCAGCGACGCGAAGGGGCAAGCTCCACTTCCCTTCAAATGCATCTCCAACTCCAGCAGGATCTGCAGGGAGTAGGTCATCTCTGTCTCACTATGGCAGAGGGGCAGGGGGGGGGGAGAACAGGAAGCATCAGCAGCCGTTACACTTACACATTTACATGGATAATGGAGCATCAACCAGGCATTAAAGGTGGGGTAGGTAAGTTTGAGAAACCGGCTCGAGATACACTTTTTGTTATATTCCATGGAATGCTCTTAACATCCCGATAGCAATGAATATCTTAAGTGCTTTGACAAAAAATCCATACAAAAATGTCATCTGTGGAAGCCGTAATACTGTAAAAAGCACGACCAATCATTTCAGCCGGCCCGGCTAAAATAACTGGATGGCCTACCTGCCTGTCAGCCTTCCATCTGTGCACAAACTTATCTCGTGCCCTCATTGGTCATGTGCACGTTCGTGTGTGTTGGAGGAGGGGCTCTGTAAGGAAGTGGCAGATTTTCTCCGGCTGTGTATTTTCAAATTCTAGCCACTCGAGCTGGTTTCTCCAAAATTACCCACCCCACCTTTAAGTATATTTGTATACTTTCATGCACTTGTTTAACATACAACCCCGGAATGCAAATAATATGCATCCATTACAATGTGCCCATTTATAAACTGTTCTCTGTGAATTTAAATGGGGGCCTGAATTGAACTCTGATAACGTGCCAGAGAAAATAATATGTACAATTAATTACAGAGAATTAGTAACATATAACATAATTTAGATGATAAAAAAGAATATACAGTTCACCAAGTTATTTATTTCTATCAGATTACAGTCTCAATGTACTTGTGTTTAGCAGTATTGCATTTATTTATAGATGGTTAGGGTATCTAATGGTAAAATCTGTAACTGGAGTTAAATATGCAACTTTTTTTGTATTTAGGTGTCATAAATCAGCAGTATTGGGATCGATTGAGGTGATTAAGTTAAAAAGTAGAAAACACATGCTAAAAAAGGTTATAATGTTATATTGTTGGACTTGGTTTTGACTACTTATTTTAATGTATAACAATGCTTCCTTTTATGACCCTGATTTTGATGAATATTGTTTATGTCAAATCTCAACTGTGATCGTAATTAGTAAGGTACACTAAATTGAACGGAAGCACTGTACTTTAGTAAATCTACTAAGTTACTTTAATCGGCTGCAATTTGGTATTCCTCTACAGTATATGTGTGGTGGCTGCTATGTAACACTCACTTGAGAGCAGTGAAAAGTGAAGGAATCTCATAATCCCTGAGGAGCAGAAGAGTCGGGAGCCAACCTTGTTCCAGCGCCTGACTGGCATCAAATCCTTGACACAAAAAGTGTAAAACAGTTTAATATGAACAAGAACCTCCTCATATGGTTATTAGCTACATGAAGTGGCTTTTGTATTTTATATATTTTTGTGTGATAGCATGTTTTTTTACCAGGATGAAACCCAACCACCAGGTCTGGCTTGGCTGCTTCCTCTTTCTCCACCAGCTCCTCCCAGAACTGGTGGTAGAGGCCCTTGTAGGCACTGATGAAGACCCTCTGCCTGGGACCGAACGACCTGAGAGGAGGCCTCACGATGGGCCCGTCCACCACCTCTGGTCCCACCATGACTATCTCTATGCCCTGGTGTCCGGGGAACATGTTGTTCAGCTCGTCGTAGTCCGTCAGTCTGGCTCCCATGGTCTCGCTTTGGCCCGCTCCCACCAGGTGAATGGTGAGAGGTTTGGATAAAGGGTTCATGCCGAATAGCCTCATGCCCCAGGCGATGGTCAGCGGCCTGGAGAACAGCTCACTGCAGACCCTCCACAGAGAATCCTTCAGGACATCATCGACAGGCGGAGGCCTGCCGGCGTTGGTCCACAAGTCTTTCATGTTTGCTCCTTTTAAGATGGGATCGAGGCGAGGCGTGAGATCCCCCTGCATCGCAAGCCAGTCGTCCCAGCCTTTAATCTCTGACTGGGGCTTTGACCATTTCTCTGTAGGGAACGGAAGGTCTCCTGATAGGAAAAAATAAGAAATATGTTTAGTAGTAAACACAGGAGTTCATGAGATGTGGCTTCAATCCTTACTTTCACCTTCCTTTATTCCTTTCCCGGGAGAAGACTTGGCTTATAAAAAAGCGTAATTAGACAGTATGAAGTTGACTTTTGATTGTGTTCTGGTTTTATGTTTCAGTATTTGTAAGCAACTGTGACTGAAAGAATATTAAACTTTTTTTTTAAGAAGGGGCAGGTAAAATAAGATTTTCTTCTCCCTGCTCCTTTCCACCATGCGCTATAAAAATACAAATTAAAACAGTATAAGTGTACATGTTTTGTAAAGTGTCCATGTTTTTGTTTTAAAAATAACTGCCATAAACAAATAAAATAAAAATGAAAATGTGTGTGGACTCTCTTCCATTGATGTTTTACCTTTGAATAAAAGAAATTCCACAACTCGGTCAATTGAAGCCAGACACAGCTGTGAGCAGAATTTCTTGTGTGTGGGCCAGTCATTCTTTTGACAGTCTTTACAGCAGTAGTAAACAAATAGACATCTGTGCAAAGATGGGGGAAAAGCACAAGATTAGAGATCACAAAATGACCCACTTTGATGGAGGGATATTTTGGCTGTAAAGGTCTGACTGGTGCTTACCTGGCACAGCGCTTCATGCTCTGTGGGTTTGAAAGTTGATTTGGCTTCTTCTCACAACAGGCACAGATTTTAAAAGACTCCTCCATCTTCTCAAACATCTCCCTTTGAGACTGGAAGGTCATGGCTTTTCCCTTGGTCTCCATACCAGCTCTGGAAAGACAAACCAAAGAGGTATTGAATACAACATAAGTATTGAAAAGTAACTCTTTCGTAATAACAGTTCATTTATAAGCACCACATGCTAATACCAATACCAATTGTAAAAGTAACAAAGATCGTCTATTGCTTTCTAATCTTAGACATTTGCCACAACATGAGGAGAGGAGTGACTGCATGCACGGATTCAAATGAGTTTAACTGTTGCAAAAAAGCTGCCTGAAGCTGGTGATAACTCGAACTAAGGCAAATATGTTAGCAGGGAGTTGAAGTATGAAACAGACTGTGGCTAGCGTCCTTCAAATGTCGAGGAGTTTAATTACCGAGCAACAGGCGGTACTGTTCATGCGCGCGTGACTTCTACACTTAAGACTTTTATGGAGGACAATGTACATTTAGACATGTTGTCTCAAACAAGTGACATAAGCTCCAATAATATAGCCATAACTCACTTACCTCTTGGTTTCCGTCATTGTTAAACTAGTCTCCCTCACGCTCTTCTCACAGTTTCTTCTTCGAGTTTCGCTCCTCTGGTGTGATATATGAGTCTGTGGGGGGCTGCTGTTCCTCATATAACGTTAGCACCTGTGCTGACCCTTCTAGAAACCTCTGACAACCCCCAGACCCTTCCTGACTTCACAGGAGCAACACAAATATGTTGTTAATTTGACTAATTGTAATTCAAACCAACCAGGATAGCCAATGTTAACACTAAAACAACATTAGCACCACTGTTACAAAGTGTATTTTATGTTTTAGATATATGTTTTAGTCTTTATTTTTTGTGTAATGGTTACCTACTGTGGGGAAGTTAGTTTGAGGTTGGGTATTCAGACGCAGAGGTACATCATAATTGACCAGTGCAATAATACAATGATAATCTGGTGGAGTTGTTGGTTCATCTGACTTTGAAGCTAATGAAAAGACATCCGACTTTCAATAAAATATCTGCACATTTTTATAAAAATATTCATATAAAAAACGATCTATATAAATATGTGTGTGTGTGTGAGTACAACCTTTTGCCACTGGTAAAATATATACTATACTCTTTGTGCTTCCACTTTCATCCTTTAGAGGGCAGTGTCATACTTCAAAACATGTCCCTCGACTTGAAGCAAAACAAGAAACACATGCAGACAGTAGTAAAATGGGATGTTTAACACATAATTGTTTTACAATTTAGCAATATTGGTTCATTTCACTTAATCTAAAATGCAGCAGAGCAATTACGATTTCATGTTTACACATTTCTAAAGCAGGATTGTCATTCAAAGATTTATCCAATGTGATTTATTATATCCTGCTAAAAGATTAAAGCAAAATCAATGTGGATGAACCAACAAGGAAAGAGGGTACGGAAACCGCTTTATAAAACATTTACAGAAAATAGTTTTGTAGTCATAAAGGGGTATTTTTAAAGCTGCTGCTAAATCCTGTGATTCGAACATGCCTTGCAATATAGTGCAATCACTTATAACGTGCCTGCAATAGGTAAAGTATATAATATGGAGACTGTGTCAGACAATAAGGTGATGTCTTATCTTGGGGTGATTGCAAAGTTTGTAGCTCATGCTGTTTTTTAACTGCATTAAATTGTATTGTGTTACTGATATTAACGCTGAATAAAACAGAAAAAAGCTCTATAATAAATGCTGTTTGGCTTCTTTAGCTCTTCTTTTTATTGTAAAGCAACAGGGAAAAGGCATGATTGCTTATAGAGAGTCTCCAGGATGGACTCACCATTCAGAGTCGAGCAACAACTACAAAGAGAATCCAAATAAGACAAATAAACACATTTTAGGCACTGTGAAAGTGTATAATTTATTTAGAGGTAATCTTAGATCATGTGTTACATCAGCATGCATTTGATTTGAGTTCATCCAGCTATTGTGAGATTTGGGAATACATAGCGACAGAAGAAATTACAGAAAACGTTCAAATGATGAAATAACTCATTTTGGTCTCATTACATATCCATACCCATGACCCTTTATATCCAACTTTGATGCGACCTCGGGGCATGAGGAGAGAAAAAACCTCTGCACCCTGCTGCGGCCCTCAGGTGCCATACATAATGAGCTTTGAGAGATTTTTGTAATCTGTCTTATTAATTAATTATTTACGTGTGTTTAGTGCAGTGAAGGTGCATTATTTCCCCCACTTTCATGCTCTCTTTTCCATACACAGCACCCATATTTGCCATTTTTCAGCACAGCTGAGCAACGTCCATCTGTAAAAGGCAGCCGGTACCCCCAATGACCTCATAAAGTCCCCAAATCCTATTTTGAAAACAACATCTTACAGGGTTTACAAGTTTTGGTATCCCTTAATTGTCTACCCCAGACTCCTCTAAATCTTCTTGAGGCAGCAGTCCCTGGAAACGGATGTAGTGAGAGTTGCAGTGCACCGGGGTTTTGTTTGGGGTGGACTGAACCTGCTCTGGCTTCTGTGAGGCGAAGGGGTTAGGTCCACTGTCTTCGATGTGCACCTCCAACTCCAACAGGATCTGCAGCGAGCGCTCAAGCTCTTTGTCGCTGATGATACAAAGAGATAGCAAAGGAAATAAATTAATCAAGTAAGCTGTATTGTCCTCAAGAGGGACTTATTTTAAGAAAACAGTTTGAAAGAAATTAGAGCACCAACAGCAGAGAAGGAGAACAACATCAATATCTTTGCTTTATCATCAAGTTACAGTCTACAGGGGCAGTTTGCTGAGAGTGCCTGCAGTAAAACAAATACATCTTCCCTTTTACTTGCCCTTTATATAAATAGGAATATGCCAGCAGAGGGAAGGAGTGTGAAGTGGGGAAGGAGAGCATTGAGACTGAGAACTGTGATGAGGTCGGGAAGTGAGGAGCAGAGAGACCACATGATGGTTCTTGAGAACAGATGGCATTTAATGTGAACATAACATTTTTACTGTTCCTCAAAGGGCAATGGATGTTATTAACCCCCACTATAACACAGGAAATGTGTATGTTTATGTTACAGTACTGTGACTAACCTGTACAGAGTGAAGCAGGTGGGGATGTCCAGATCTCTGAGCAGCAGAAGGGTGGGCAGCCAGCCTTCAATCAGACCCGGACTAGCGTGGAAACCTGTGTAAAAAACACACGTGTAAAAATAACATCACATGACGTTAAAAAAAATAAGACTTTTTTTAATGTATTCAATGACTTTAGCTACTTTGCTAATTCAGGTTCTTAATATATAAATATAACATTATAAATCAACTAATTTATAAAATACATTATGATGTTTTATTCTAGGTTTTTAGCAGTATATAAAGTAGTTCAATTACAGTCACTTCACCGGACATATCAATTGGTCAATAAAGTATATGACTCTGTAAATGAGGCATTTTTCTTAAGTATATTTATTGTAAGTACTGTGAGTTGTAATGGAGTATTTTAACACTTACTACTTTTACTCAAGTAAGAAATCGGAGTACTTTTTCCACAACTGATAGGATCGCATCAATTGTTCAGGGCCTTTAATTTAGAATACGTCACTGCAACATACATAAGGCCGTTGAATGACAATAACACTTAAAAACATCAAACAACGTCTGATCTCACCGGGAAAGTCTTTGCACAGTGACAGGTCTCTCTCGTTAGCTCGAATAAACGTCTTTCTGGACGTGTCGCTGACAGTCGGCCTTCATCATCAGTCAGTGTGACAAAGTTAATCATGCTCCAAACAAGCCGACCTTGTGTAACTTTCAGCGGGACCTCAGAAAGCATGTCCTAACTTAACCTGGCACAACCCCAGCTGAACATTTGGGACATTCTTGCACAGTGACAATCCAGAGCATGCATCCATGCCGGGTTAGGTTTCATAATCCCTCGGCATATTAACTGACAGATGTCACTCTCTCCCGGCTCTGGTTTGTATCAGTAGTATGTTTTTTTCTTCTGAGCAGCAGGGCTGTGACGCCCTTCAAACAGATGAATGAGGTGCAAGCCACCATGGCAGCAAATACTGCAAATCCATCCGGCTTTAGGGTGTCCTTGAGTGAGACAAAACCAGGCAGCAAACAGATATTTCCCAACGCTGATCAATTAAGACTCCCATTGTTCAGTTGAATTAAGTTATCCTGGATGAAAATTCAATCTAGGAAAATATGCCTGTTATGAATTTATAAAGCTTCAGCTGTTCAGCACATTTCTGCTGTGTTTACTGGTTGTATGTGTGTTAAGGGGCCGAGAGCAATGCCACAGAGGCAGAGCATTGTAAGGCCTGTGATACTGGCACACAGATGGTATCATGTTATCCTCAGACTGCCACATCTTTCCGTGGAACTCAAACTGCAGAAAGAGAGGATTTTGATTTGAATTATGCATGCCATGATACGAACATCCCCGAGGTTACACTCCTCATCATGATAAAACATTTAACAGGGAGTAAGCGTTTAGGCTCTTAGACCTTCGGGAGATAAGGTGACAAAGAGACAGAGCAGTCTGACTGTTAATGACTGCAATAATTGCCTGGCCATATGGTGGATAAAGTAGCTCTTAATGGCAATACTTTATTTCCTTAAAAAAAAAGTATGACAATGCAGTTTATTATGTGGATACAAACAGCCATCAGGAGATGTTTTTAGATGTCTATCTTTGTATGGATGATATTACTTAGACACCTTCTATCTCCTTTGTGAGAGCTGACATCACCCTCCCTGGCTTTTTTCTCAATGTCTGTTTTTTCACCACTCTCTCATTCTCATTCTCTTTGTGACTTCCACACACACCTTCCTTTTTATTCCTTTAGTCACACACGCTGCCTGCTCCCCTATCATTTAAACAGTGTCATAATGCAGTGCTCTGCCAGCGTCGCACTATGAAACGCAGCCAGGCACTCAGGCAGTTTCCTCGCAGGATGACTGATTCCTGTATATTTAGCTCCAGTGGAGCCGGCGCTGATAACCGAGCTCGGGTTCTGGGTGCAGTTGGGTCGTGGATTTACTGCTGCTTTGCAGGTTAAAGGGTCAGAGAACCGCTTCAGAGCAAGAGCTTAGGAGGTGTAGGGTTATAGTGACACATTAATGAGGTTTTGTGTGAGAGTGGACGCTGGATATCTCTCATCTTTAGACTGTTATAAAGTGGAGAAAACCTACATGGACCGGTAATGGTGGGATTGTTGATTTTAGACACGACTTGGCCTTGCAGTGTTCATCAGAGTGAATCAGAAGGGGTGGGTGGATCTTTCAAAAGGGCAGCTTACCTACATTATGCTGAGTCCAGCAATCAGAAGCCAAACTCTTTCCCGGCTGCTCCTATTAATCACACAAATCCCCAATAAAAGCCCTGTGCTAATGAATAGGCTAGATTTAGTGAGTTACGCATCCGCTGCTTGCTCTGTTCTCCGAAAGAGATAATGGTCAAATGAGCATAAAGGGAGACAAGTCACTGGTTCTCCAAGACAGCTGACCACTTAAGCTGAGCACTTTCTATTTATAGCCGCGGGCAATCATTGTGTTCTTTACCGGTTGATTTATAAGCATTACGAGGTGAAAGTCTCCTTTCAACCAGACCCGTCTCAACAATTTAATGGCTGGACAATCACATCAATTACTTCTTTGTTTGTTCATGTTGGCAGGATGTTGGATGTACATACCAGGATGAAATCCAACCACCAGGTCTGGCTTGGCTGCTTCCTCTTTCTCTATCATATCCTCCCAGAACTGGTGGTAGAGGCCCTTGAAGGCGCTGATGAAGACACTCTGCCTGGGGCCGAACGACCTGAGAGGAGGCCTTACGATGGGCCCGTCCACCACCTCTGGTCCCACCATGACTATCTCTATGCCCTGGTGTCCGGGGAACATGTTGTTCAGCTCGTCGTAGTCCGTCAGTCTGGCTCCCATGGTCTCATTGTGAGATACTCCTGCTATGTGAATAGTCAGAGGTTTAGCGTAAGGGTCAAGGCCAAATTGTTGCACAGCCATCCCAACTGAGAGAACTCGAGAGAGGAACTCGCTCTGAATCCGCCATAAAGACTGATGCAGGTCGGAGTCATCAGGCCTCGGCCTGCTGGCGTTCTGCCAAAGCTTCTCCATGTTGGTACCAGACAAGATGGCGTCCAGACGTGGCGTGAGGTCCCCCTGCATGGGAAGCCAGTCGTCCCAGTTCTTCACCTCGGCAGCTGACTTGGACCACTTCTCCGTGGGGAATGGGAGGTCTCCTGTTAGGGTGGCAGTATATTTATGATTGATTGAGTCACACAAAAAGACTCAGATTAGAGCCGATTCTGTCTAGCAAGTTTACATGGTGTCTGAAAAGCAATCCGAGAGATTCAAAGGCTGAGGAACTTTAATTAAAATGTCTGAAATCGCACCAGTATTGCACTGTGGTGACTCTCTGTCAGTTTTTGTTTCTGAGGCGTTTCATTTCTACAGCTTAACTTTTTAATGTGCCATCTCATTAATGATGATGAATGATTTTTGTGTTTTTGTGAACTCAAACAGCTATCAAAGTGTTTCAATGTAAACAGCAATGCCTTTTAAGTTCTTACCAGTGAACATCATCCACTCCACTAGTCTGTCAATGGCCACCAGGCGCAGCTTCTTGCAGACCTTTTTATGCTGAGGCCAGTCCTTTCGCTGACACTCTTTGGTGCAGTAGTACACATTCAAGCACCTGTGAGAGAAAGATAGGGGGGAAAGCATTGCAGAGAATTAAACATATATAAATGATAGGAGGCATAGAAGTTGAACAAATTACACAATTCCGGGGCTCTTGACAATGTTGTAGACCATCCACTTAACTGTTTGCACTTCAACATTTTTGTTGGAAATTTGGGTCCATCCATCATTGTCCAGAATGAAACTTGGGGAAGAAATGGCCATGACATGTGCTACAGATACTCAAGTTCCCAAAGTATAAACTCTTAAACTTTGAGGATACTCCGACCTTGCCCTCTACTTTTGTTCATGACCAACTACCTGGAAAACTAATAGCCTCCTCATTATCCTCAGGTGTTTATGTTTATTTAGGATCCCCATTAGCTTTTGCTCTTGACAAAAGCTACTCTTCCTGGGGTCCGACACTTAAAACAATACAACAATAATATAACAACATTCAAGGCATAACTCCTGACATCATTAACAACATCACCAATATCATCAACAATCTCCAACATCATCAACAATGTCATCCACTTTCAATATCAATCTCAGCCAAGGACGAGTGCACAAGACACCCACCAGTACAAAGCATGAGATACAATTGAATTAGGGTTCACAGCTCACAAGGGTACATGGTCATTAGTAGATGGCCAATCTCTTTCTGAAAGAGGCTCTGGACTCTATTTCAGCAAGGTAGTTTGGCAGTTTGGAAGATTTCAGAAGATTTGTCCTGGGTTTAGGTGCCAGTTGATGGCCTGATGTACTGTAGCTTGTCTAGTCTTATGGTCATGCTCGTCTCTTGTGTAAACTATTTGATCATAAAAATACAATGTTTTTTTGCTAAATTGGTAATCTTTTAGAAAAGTGATAACACGAGATTGCAGACGTTTCTCAACCGGAAGCCATGATAGGTTTCTATGCATAACTCCAATATGAGTGCGCACGAACAGTGGAGAGCTAGTCTGGCAGCCTTGTTTTGAGCTATAATTTCTGTATGTGTTTTTGCTGCTGATGACCATATGACCGGACAGTACTCAAGATGTGACAAAACCAGAGACTGAATGACTTGTTTCAAAGTGTTTGGTGTTACATACTTTGTACATTTTCTCGTCACAGCTATGCTCCTTCCGATTTTAGTTACGATACTGTCAATTTGCTTTGTCCACTTTAAACCAGAATCAAGAACAATGCCAAGCAACTTAGTCTCATTTACCTGTTCCACTGGCTGACCAGCCAGTGGAACAGGTGTAGCAAGGTGTAACTTGTGTTAACTTGTAACCTGCTAAACATCAACCTGCTAACGTTTGCTAAACATCAACCTGCTAAATTTGTGAGAAAACTTGTGAGCATGTTAGCATGCTAAGGTTAGCATTAGCACAAAGACCTGCTATGTGCTAAGTAAAGCCTTACAGAGCTGCTAGCAAGCTAGACTGTTTTGTTCCAAGATTAACTGACATAATAACGTAATTATGAATATTATATTCATTTTCTTCTGCCAATTCTTTATTTATGCATCAGATGCAATGTATATCAAGAGATTCTCTTTATTGCTAAAATATTTTGCATCCTACATCCTTCATTCATCTAACCCTTGTTTACATTTAAGACGACAGCTGGCAAAAACAGCCACCGTAGGTAGAGGCAGGATTTATTTCGGAGTATACGACCTCTTTGAGCGGATGTGGGCTTTTGTGTTGTCACACAATTTAAGTGGCGAGGTAATGTGTTGGATTAGAGGTCTGACAGCCAGCGCCAGTTGGTGCTTTGGGGAGACTATATTACATTACCTCGCAATCATTTGCAGACTCCTAGGCACACACATTTACATAAAATCATTTATCAGCCTATGTGTTCTCACTGTTCTGTCAGGGCACACTTTGGGCGTACTAATCCTCCAAAGCATGCTTACAAAGTGAGACAAAAAAAGGTGAGAAAACACAGGTGCCCTTGAAAGGTAAAGTAAAACACACTTCCCCAGGGATGCCTCAGCTTTTAAAGTTAATGAATAGATAAATGTGGAGCAGAGTGTGAAAAATAAAATGGAAAGTTACAAGCAGCCACTGTTGGACTTTTGGTGGTAATTCTCAGATGTCAACGGACTTGAGGGTTTTACTTGTCAGCAGTTCTATTTTTTTATCAGCAGCTTCTGGTTACTTTTTCTGAGAGAGGCACAGGCAGCTGGGAATTTCAAGGGAACACACACGCAAGATGGTCTCGGTCTCAGTGTGTGTGTGTGTGTGTGTGTGTGTTTGTGTGTGTGAATCAGAGCGAGAGGGATAGAAGGAGAGCGATAGAGCCAGAAGACAAAATGAGGCACAAAAACATGAGGCGGCATAATCTAATCCACTCCTTCTTCTCAATACAGACCTTCAAATACATGGGGGCAAAGAGTACAAATAAATCCCAAATTCAAGGATTTGCAGCAAAAAACACAATCAAGGGGGTAAAAAGGGTTTGGCCTGAACATTTCAAACATAGGCAAAGATCACACAAAACTGCCCCATGAAAAGTATTTAACTTCCACCCTGCTTCATGATGTTGTGACATTATGAAGTGGATTAAGCTGCTCTTAATAAACTGCAGATGACACGTAATCAGGGGGCTTTGCTATATTTGGCCAACGTCCACGTCTGTAGAGCTGGGTGGCCCTAAATTCTGCCTTTGAAACAAACAGCAACTTGTAACAACCTTTGGACCACAAAGTCAAAACAACGTCCTGACCCAGCACATATGGAGCTGACGTGAGAATGGTGAAGCCTTTTAGTGGCTTAAAATATTCAGACTGTCAACAATATTAGTCAGTGTTAATGCGACTGAATAGCACTCACTTCATGCAGCGTTTCAGGGTCTGACCCTCGCAGAGATTTGCTGGCAGTGTGTTGCAGCTGGTGCAGAACTCAAAGGTCTCCTCCATCTTCTTGAACATCTCCTTGTAGTTGCGGAATGAGATTGCCTTCGCCTTTCCCTCAACGGTGGCCCTAGAATCAGACAATTATTCAGGGTGGTATTTGAGTGAGATATAGGCATAGAGGCAGTGCAACAGATGATGTTTTAAAGGTCCCCTATTATACAGTTTTTCATCAATATATTATAGGTCTCAGATATATAAAGAACATGTCTCTGAAGTGCTTGCCATAAACCCCTCTGTTTCAGCACAGTTTCAAAAGTGCTCTCTGTCTGTTACTTTAGATGAAAATAAGGAGCCACTCCCCACGCCCCTCTGAGAGATATTTGGTTAAAAATAACACACAGGTGCTCTAGGAGGAGATTCAGGTGATAAGGTGGGGGGTGTTACCTTGGTTGGTTATTGGCTAATGGTTACACAAGCCAAAAAATCGTTATGACATCATAAAGTGGCCAAAATCTGATCAGCTCATTTTCAGACAGGTTTTTATATAAATACGATCAGGAAAAAAAGTGAGCGTTTCCTGAAACGTTCAGAATCTCTTTACACAGAGGGGACACTTGTGTATAAAAACATGAAAAAGTGTATTTTGCACAATAGGTGACCTTTAAGATAGTTTTAGCAGTTTTACCTGTATTCTCCGTAGTCCTTCATGTTGAGCTTGTTGAGAATTACCTTGGAGAGGCCCGGGACGTTGGAGTCCAGAGAGTAAAAGCCGGAGAGGACAGAGAAGACGCTGTCAGTCCTCGGAGCGTCAGGGAGTGCGAGCGCTGGGATGTGTGACGCCATGTTGTCTACTTTAGTTTCCACTATAGGACAGAAAATAAACCTTTAATTAACACAGAATCCCATCAAATACTGTATTAAACACCTTCTGCTTAGTGTTGAGTTTATTTCTGACATTTCAAGAGTGAAGTAACGCCCTCTGAAAAACTTGTTTTTGCAGATTTTGTGGTTTAACTTCTCATTTTGCTGCAGTGATGTCCAGGTGTACTAGTGTACATTGTGAAATCACTTGAACAACCTGTTTTCCTGGAAGCAAACTCTGTATGGCTTTTAAAAATCACTTTATCACCTTTTGTATGATATAATATTTTTCCCATTTTGTTTCTTTCACTGTGTTTTAATATGTGTCTGGATTTAGCTGTGTTCAAAGGCTAATTATTATTACAACAATTAGAGATTGTCCTTGCTTATCAAATACGTGCAAACCCAATTTGCTCATATAGTTAACAAAAAATAGGCTAATTTCTATTATGATAACGTTTTCAGTTGAATTACTATGCAGCGTTTTAGACTCTGAATGGCCCTTACATCATGGATCTGTCAACATAGCCTTCCTTTGACGTCCTTAAACAAAATCTGATCCATTGTTTACCAGCCTTTGTGTGCTGTGCGCTTACTGACAGACACAAAGCAGAGTCAGAAGGGTGTGAGACACCCCCCCTCCGCCTCATCAGGACACACTCACAAATGAGAAGAAGCAGGACTGGAAATGTTGACATACAGTCCTGAGCCCACAAAGGTATTCGTCCTACTTGACCAAGTAACACAACAAAGATTTGGACTGTTATTAGAAGACTCCTGACAGGGTGTGAAATGCTCTTCTTGATAATACATCACTGCTGCCAGGAGCCACAAAAGCGTCTTTGGGACTGATGATAACATTTAAAAAAGAAAAATACACCAAGTAAGCTGCTGCAGTTTGACTTATGTCAAGGATATGGACTTTTCACCAAGCAGCATGGAAACTGTGCCTATACATAAACTGACACCCTATAGATTCCTATTCTCAACGCTGACACAGTATCTCAACATAGTGTAAAGTACTCAGTAGACTGAATACCTTTCAAATACACCCTCTGTCACTCGTATTCACTCTGACCAAGACCCTGATGACAGAAGCTCTTACAAAAGAAGGATCATGCACATTCTCAGATGGATGGAGGCATGTTTCTTCAGACTGCTACCCTTGACAAAAATCCTCCGTCCGAACAAACCTTGCTTGCATGTCACATGATTTATCATCTTGGCATGACATGTGGGAAAATAAGAGGCGAGGGAAATGTGATCATCTGATGGTGGCACTCTTGGTGGCTTAAGTAGCTCGTGCAGTCTTTCTTTAGATTTCACTGGGAGCCAACATCCAATACTTTGCATATGTGTATGGTAGAATCAGATTTCTGTTTGGTTTAGATTAGGTGCCAGTTGTTCTTGTTTATAAAGTCTTTAATAAACAAGGACCATACATACAAAAATTAAAATCTTTAAAAATAAGAGATGATTTATGCCAGATTTAGTTATTACGCAAATATAATTCAACATACATTAAATCATTTTGTACTAAATACAAATCAAATCTCTAACATACAGAAGTGCTTCACCTGGAATTGAAAACACCCCAAACTGCCTTTAGCTCCAAGCAGCTGGCAGCAATAACACTATTCTTAACTTTCACAATAAAAGCGTCACTTTATCACACTCCCTTGCACCCAGAATGCCCCTTCAGTTTCACAAAGAAACAACTTTCCCTCTACTTTTTCTGGGACTCTTTTCAATTTAATTCACAAGTGTTGCTGGAAAATGCTTTTAGCCTTATCATGTCGCAGAGTAAATTAAAAAAGGATATCTAATTAGCTCCTCCATATCTACAGAGCAGGGTTGGAAATGAACAGATTTCCCACGAGAGGGCAGGTTTTTTTTTTCTTCTTTCTTTTCTCACATATCTGCCCGTGACACTGTTAGGCTTTTAGCATGCAAAGTCCTCCAGCTTACTATCGGGCAACTGCATTATCACATTCTCACACTGAATGGCGTGAACACAAGGACACGATAACTGGAGAGGGATTTTACCTTCAGTTTCCAGGTGAGAAGAGAGACTTCAAGGTGAGGTTTCTTGGTAGAAGGAAGTATTTGACAGTTCCTTATGCTGGATGTCAGCACCTCATGGAGCCTTTATTGTCTCTGCTGGGGTCAGTAATGAACTCAGCACCACAGAGCCAAAGTAGGGAAAGAAGCCTGGGGTGGGGGGAGTGACATTTGGGGCGAGGGGGGGGGGGGGGGGGGGGGGGGGGGGGGGGTAGTGAGTGGGTTGGGGATGAGTCCAGCAGGGGAATTTGCCTTGGAGGAAGATGGGAACCAAAGAAGAGAGGAATAGGAAGCGGGACATTCTTAGAACAAGAAGGGTGGGGCGGGAGGAGGATGAGGAGAAGAGGTGGAGACTGGAGCGGACACATAAACAAGATACACCATAAACATCTGAAAAATAAACATGCTGGGATGAGAGGAAGAACATCACAGGGCAGGAAATGAAAAGCAATGAGGACGATAACAAACACATCAGAAAGTGGAATCAATCAAAGTGCAGTAAACAAGTGTACAAAACGTTTTTGATATGTTAATACATTCGCTTTTCATCGAGCTGTTATTCTAGTTTAAAGGCTTCCTATTTTTCTTCTAAAGCCTGAATAGAAAAGCAACTGATTTCAAAGCAAAAAGCTAACAACACAGAGTAAATGTTATTCATGTAGAGTTAATGTGTGTACAATTTATAATAATGACACCTTTTCTTAATTTAAAAAATTTATTTGGTCCGTCGGAACCTGAGATTAAAAATTAAACATACATTGTTTGTACACATATTCTCATATTCCCCTCCCAGAAAAAGATCAATAAAATATATATCACATTCATTAGAGTTCATTTTTTTTCAGCGTTAGGTTGAATTTCTTAATTGTTTCTACTATCATACAAGTTTAAAAGGGTCAGTGATGTATCCCTCCTCTCCATTTTCTATCTTTTATGTGGCTTAAGTCTGCATTCTGTACAATTTACACGGAGGGAAGCAGACGAATGGAAAGAAACAAGGCGTTGTGTTTTCCTCTCCGGCAGCAGGGGGCGCCCCTGACGCACAGAAGAGTCAGCACCACAACTTCACAGAAGAGGAGTAGGTTCACCAGCAAAGAGCCAAGATGACAATTATGACAAAAAAAACGTTGTATAAAACAAAATCTCATGTAAAGTGATCCAGCGGTGACACTGAATGTCTTTGAGGTGCCTCGTCATTGCAGGTTGTTTCAGTGCAGGTTCATTTCTGGTCAAGCTAACCCCTCTGGGCTCAATGTAACGCCGGTACATTATCACATTCCTTTATCCGTCATACCAGTATTCAGCAATGATCATTTTGACAACAGGCCTGCAAATCACTTATACAAATAAATTAAAGTTCACAGCTGCTGTGCTGCGACCACACAGACATCTGAGAGTGGTCATTATTACACGGTATGTTTCTTTGGAAAACATATTTACAGTTACTTCAGCTTCGGGTTTCAGCAAAGAAACGCCACACTGCTGGAGTAGTTTTCATATGAGGATGACAGCCTGCAAGTCGTGTTTGTGCGAAGTAAGTAAGACTGCAAGCATACGGGACACAGTGCTGCCGTTTACTGTAAACCATAAGGAAAGAAAAGACAATTCTCATGAGATGAAGCACGATTCGGCACTTTTTCAACTCAAGGTAGCTGAGTTTAAGTCCTTAACTGAATCATTTCATGTGGAAACTATGATCTTGACATAATAAAGAAGCTTTTTTCCCCTACCATTGTATGAGTGCTCGAGCAATTTCAGCTTTCAAGTTTATCCCCACACAATAACAAGACATCAACTTTGACTTGGAAAAGAGTCACACTCCATCCCGTTACTGTAGTACCGCATTCATCGTTCCCTCTCTCGGATGAATGAAACATCTATGTTGCCATGGTGAGGCCTGAATGATCCTTAGTGAAGCAGGAGTAATGGCTTTGACACTGGAGGAATGGAAAGAGGACCTTCGTAAAAACAGCTGTAGGCAGCCCATCCTTTGCAGCGGGAACTCCACTTATTTTCTGTGTCACAAAATGTCTCAGGGGTCCCTTCTCTCTCTTGTTATGTGCATGCAGTCTGACTAAAATGTGAATTTGTTATTAAACGAGGACTCCACTTGTCGTTTATGTGCGGTCGGGAGTATTCTAGTGGGAGGACGGCCCAGATGTTCGTGCTGCACACAAGCAAACAAAAATGGTCCCTGACCTCCCAAAGTAAACTGTGCAGCTCAACGTAAGAGCTCTTCTGTGGCAAAGTGACTGTTCAAACAGCGACTCTGCTACTCCCTCAGCACACTAAAGTGTACACCGAAATACTGTGAGAAACAGACAGCTGACCTTCAGTATCGAGACACATATTTTAGGGGTTCACAATCTAAGAGTGCAAGAAGCATTCATACAACTTCTGTAGAGGGTGGGATTTCTGTGTGAAGATGTATAGCGACGGCTGAACTGGATGAGAGAAGCCAGCAGGCCCGAGGGGTGATCTACAAAGCTGGTCATTAAATGACTCGCCTACAGCGTTTGCCCCCCAACACTGAGGCTGAGAGGAGATGAAGAAGGGGAAGAAGGGAGTTACAGTGGCTGTTTTCTGTAGGGAAAACGCAAAACACAATTAAGGGAATCTAAAATGTGTCAGTATTTCACAAGATAAAAACCCATCTAAACCAGAGTTTACAATAAGAGATGCTTCTCCAGCTATCATCTCGAGGTTTAGCTTGACTCCAGCTGTGTTTGGTCCTGAGCTCGGGGAGTGCGAGACAGCACTGCGATGACGATGACAGACAGTACTGATGGCTTTTTTTTATACGACCTCAAAAAACACAAATATGGACAAGACAGCAACAAGGGCGTTGTATAAAACAAGTAAGACCGACGTGTATTATCTTGATTAAAAAAACATGAATATGGATTTGGCTCATTAAGTACCGTAGGGAGGGCCGGGGCGAGATAAACCCCTCCCCCCCCTGAAGTCTCCGACTTAGTTAGCTGTCCTCGTAGACGACATGGGGGTTAGTGTCTGATCGCTGCGGGTGATTGGCTCATAGTTTGTGGGCCGGAAAATGGCTCAGTAGTTACGGCACTCCACCCTGACTCCTGTGAAGGATATAGGACATCCCTTCCACGTACAGCGCTCGTACCAGAATGTTAAGTAGTCTGAACTGGATCCCGTTAGGTGCCCCCGGGTGAAAAATAGTTCCTTAAGTAAGTCCGGGGTCACTTCACGTGGCCCCCGCTTCCCTCATTTCATCCTGACATGGCACGTCCCCTATGGCGAGGGAGAGATCGCGGATGAAAGCATTTATGGAGCCTTAGAAGGACACACAAACGCTGCCCATTTACATTCAAGGTGTGTGTTCACCCAAAGGGACACACAAATACACATCTTTCTCCACCATTCAGGGCTGCACACGACCCCCGCCCCCCCCCGCCTGGGTTTCCAGTGGTCTGACAGTTCATTGGATAAGAGTCTGAGTGTGTGTGTGAGACGGAGGGCGGTGGTCATAGCGGCCGGGGGCGGTGCAGACCGTCGATGTCCGGGGTGAGCTCGGGGCTGTGGGTGGCCTTGGTGGGGGTCCAGTCCCCCAGAGAGGCCTGGGCTGCTTTACGGTGAGCCAGGCGGTGTGTGATGGAGAAGCCGGCGTTTCCTTCTAGCTGGGAGAGCACCACCAGCACCTGCCTGCAGGGGGGGGGGGCAGAGAGCGACAGGGGGGGGGATATTTAGCAGCTGAAAAACACATGAGGTTTTTTCAAAGCCATAATAAACAATAATTTATGAATGGAATCCCTCCCTGCTAGAAATAAAAACAATTCTGGCTCAAAATGATTGTACCGTCCTTAAGTATGGCACTGATCTTGGAACTGTGTATTAGCTAGTCAGCAAAGTTAAAGCTAGGATTGGAGGAAGAAAAGTTGCTTAGTCAGCCATTTAGACGGTTGTGTTTCTGATTCAGTCTATTTTGAGTAAAAAAGGAAATGAGATTGAGGATCTTTATTCCACACTATCACAGATATCTGAGTACACTCCAGTGCGAATCCTGAGTATAGTTACTTGGCTTCTAAATACTTTGGGCTATTAACTGAATGTATAAAAGTGAGTGAGTACAAAAATCCTGCTGTGATATTGCAGCATATAGTTTTTATTAAGTTAACTAATTATGTTCTGGATAGATGAAAGGAACTTACATTAAAAGACATGGGCCTCATGCATGGTGACTTTTTACAGTTTTCCATTAAGTGGGACATAACTTGGAGGTGATAAGGTCGTAAATGTACATTAATGTGCTCTGCAATGTGTCTCTACTTCTGAAAAATGCATACAGGAGATGTCTAAAGAACCTTAATTCAGAAAAACCTAATGGTGTGCGAATTTGTCCCCTGTGCTGCATTTCATAGCTTGGTAATAATTCGTATGTAATGTAATCCATTTCTTTATTTCTAGATCTTCTTTTTAAAACATAACTACAAAGTACTTCACAACATTACAGTACAATAAAAGCATTTTAAAGAGCAAATAAAAATGAAGAACACGATAAGCTATGCAAGAAGAAATTAAGATAGTAAAAAAGAATTGATTGGAGATATTAGAGTGTGTAATATGTTTCTGGTCTTTAAATCCTTTGCTTTAATGGGCAGAGAACCATGGGGACCGAAAGAAAACAAAGGCAGTAATAACTGCGCTGAGACCATCCTTAGGAAGATTATTAAGAAATACGGAGCGCTAATCCCCCGAGATCACTGGTGTTTATAGAAATATCTCTGCAAGACGGTCTCTGTGTGTGTGTGTGTGTGTGTGTGTACTGATATAATCTCCTAAATGGGTGGTTGTTTGCTGCACCTGTAACAAATGTTCCCAAAGCGTTTAATCTCCTCACTTGCAATCTATTTGGGTTATTTCTATTCTTCCGAGGTGATATATAATAAAAAAATACTGTGTGTGTGTGTGTGTGTGTGTGTGTGTGTGTGTGTGTGTGTGTGTGTGTGTGTGTGTGTGTGTGTGTGTGTGTGTGTGTGTGTGTGTGTACCTGTGCAGAGGGGGCACGCTGTCGATGGTTTTGAGGCTGCCGCGCGTGGACACCACGTTGAAGCTGTCAGTGCAGTCACAGGAGACGTGGAGGTAGTATTTGGGGTGGCGGTTCTCCACCACCACGATAAGCCCCGCCCACCCGTGGGTCAGGTAGTAGCACGTCATGCCCTCGCGGCCCTGAGAACACACGTGGAAACACAGAAATGTGAGCAAGAAATATGTTTTTACGTAATACAAAATACCTTGTGGCTGCAGTGCATTCTGGTCTACCGAGGCGAGAAAAAGACTGCTGTAGTTCTGCTTGATTGACTCTTGAATGTCATAGGCTTTTTGGTAAGCTGATGGGTGAAATGTATTCTGTTGTCGGGCTGCCACTAACTTGTAGGATTGCTGATTGTTTTCTCGATAAATTGATTTGATGATACTAGCAACAAATGGTAAGAATTATGATCATTATTTCCCAAAACCCCAGAAGACCTATTCTAAAATATAGAATTGACTGTCTCAGAGGCATAAAAGAAACAGAAAATGTACACATTTAAGAAGATGGAATTCAATAATTGAATTGAGCAGCTCTTATCTGCTCTCTAACTTTTACGCAGCTGCATCTGAACAGGTACAGGTATGAATCATTATAGTGTCAAGCTGCTTTTTAAAACACCATTCACACAAAAGCAACCCTCACTGAAAGCAATACGACTTTCATCTCTCAGCAGTGGCTGCCGATCTCTCTTTTGGGGCCTGTAATTGTTACAGAGTGCAGCTGAACTGCATTAGCTGCTATCCAATGAACAGATCAGTAATCCCACTCCACCTGATATCTGTCAGCAACACATGCTCGTGCTCAAAATACTAATCTTTTGTTGCCAGACAGCTAGAATTACTTATTGAAATCCCGAAAAATACATTTTTATTGTTGCTATACTGTTAAAACACTACTGCTGGAGTAGTGGCTGCCATGCACTCCTGAGCGCTCGGCCCACCTACTGTGTGCGCTGGATTCCCGGAGAGCTGCAGAGCTGAATGATTTAACAAAGATGATCTCAAGTGTTTAAAAAGCTCTGTCATCCCTTTAAAATACCAGCCAATGTGACAGCACTTTCCGGAAAGCGCGGCTCAGGAGAACTAGAATAATTTGCCTCCTTGTGTGAGTGTGTATGTGAGCATGTGTGTGTGTGAGTGTGAGAGATAATGTGCATATAGTTGCATGTGTAAAAGTAGTAACGGATTCAGGACTTAGTTAAGGAAATCTGAAGTGATATCTCCAAGTGGCTTAGGGAGTTCTCCGGCTTCACAAGCATTACACTCTCACGGTGTGTGTGCATGTGTGTGTGTGTGAGACAGAGAGATGGGAGAAGGTGACAAGCTATTCTCTTGTTCTCTGTCAAGTGTGTTCCTGAGTCTCACCTCATGTCTTTCGCCTTTGTTCTCCGTGAGCAGGATGATGGCGTCGGCCAGCGTGGTGGCCATGGCCTCCACCTGCTCCACCATCACCTGTCTGGAGCTGTAGATGGCGAGGATGTAGCCGGGGAAGTCGTTGCTGGGCCGCCGTGCTGCTGCGCTGGTAGGACTGGAGACTGCAGGACAGAAATACGCTTTAAAAAAAAGTACCTCCTACTGTATGGTAAACATGGGTAAATGATTAGGCAACAACAAAGCCTTGCTTGTGTGTTTCTGTAAACCTACTGGGTGTGGGTGGACCTCCCACTGGCGTCCCACTGACGTTCATCTGCCAGTGGTTGAAGGCGCAGCAGACGACAGCGTACTCCCCCGGCTCCAGCATCACATCGCAGCCCACAAACTTCTTCACGGCTCGCTTGCTGTGGGCCAACAGGCGGCCCAGAGTCAGCTTGTTGCCGCTGCCGAAGGACGCACGGAACACCATGATGCACAGGTCCAGCAGGTGGCTGTCCGCTGTGTCCGAACGCCTGGAGAGAGAGAGAGGGAGAGGGAGAGGGGGTGAGCAAAGAAGATGGAAATTGAACGATAAACTTAGACACAAATTAGATACGATTTATTGGATTTGTCACCCTCAGTCAAATACCATGGAATGTAAAGTAATATTGCTATTTCTATACAACGTCGCTTCATTGTGCAGCTCTAGCATGTAGCTGCAATAAGGTATAGAAATAATAAAGAGAGCACATTTTATAAAACAGACAGCGTCCCTTGAGTCAGTCACTCGGTGTTCCATGTCTGTGTTGCATAGGGAATCAAATACCTCCAATACAGCTAAATTACAAAAACATGGTCATTCAATAGAAATCTCTACAGCATTTACACAGAGCTAGGTTGACTGTAGAGGTTAGATAGAAACCATTTGAATGTAGTAATAATGTTGTAATTTAAGTTATTGATGAATAGGGAGAAATACCAAGGAATAATAGATTAACTGGTCAAGATAAGCACAGTTCACAGTATTCAGGAGGTATATATATGGAGCCTGTAACAAATTGCCTCTTTGTAAGAGATATTGCGAATTAATGGGATGTTTTTTATTTTTTTCTTATTCACCTGCTTCCCTCCTGGAAGAGAGCAAACTCCAGCGCCGTCCTCTCCAGCACGGTGAGCGCTGTGACGGTGACCGGGCCACTGGCCTTGCTGGGGAAGCAGCCCTGCAGCCTCACTTCCTGCCAGTCAGAGTGGATCTTACAGATGTCCACGGAGTCAAAGTACCTGTGGGAGGAGACGGATGAGAGGATGCAGACTCCTTTTAGTTTCATATATGTGGTATCAAAAGAAAAGTGGTTCTTCCGAGACAGCGGCAATTTGACCCGCTGCTCTCTCCGTCTCATTTGCATGCATCACCAGGAGCTCTTTAACATTAGCATAGCCTCTGAGGCTGCTGCTGAATAAACACCATTTACCTTTCTAACATGTCAGACCTCCTTCTTCAAAGACCGAGCCCCCGAGAGACGCTCCCTTCCTCACTTTCTGAGTGTTTTATCACTTCCTAACCTCGCACCGACAACTGTCTTACATCTTACTTTTGTCTTTTGACATTTGAGAAGACGAGACAGGTAAAAAAAGAGAGGCACAACGCAGCATTGGAGTAGGCTTTGATCGCTGGAGATAAACACGTCTGCTGGTTCTTAGAATTCAGCTCGTTTTAAGGATATATATATATTTGTGAAATCAGCATCCATTAGTCCAATAAGAGCCTGGATACAGTATTTGTCCAACAAGCTGGCTACTTTTTTATTTTTAGCAGGGATATGCTGTAGGCTTTTATCTAGCACAGAGCCAAGAGATTATTTCTCTGACAGAGGAAACAATAAACAGTCAGAAGACAGATGGGATTCTGGTCTTTTCGAGGCCACACACACATTTTTCAGGTTTGTTCAGGAGGCCGGCCACATTGATCTCTGTGGCCTCTTGTTTTTAAGGACACGAGGGACATGAGTAACAGCCCGATACACAGGAATAACAGCCAGATTCACGCACCATTTATTTTTAGGTTAACCTACTAACCTGGTGGACTTTGTGACAACGTCTATTTGATCAGATGCTTTGCTGACAAGGAAGGGAAAACATGTTTCTAGGCAAGTGCTGTTAACAAGGTTAGCTTAGTTTTTGTGCAGGTAAATGGTCTTCAGTATAAGCAGTCACAGTAGAGGTACACAATACAAATGAATGAAACTGAAAATGAGTATAATATGCCCTCTTTAAACACACAAATCACACAGATTAGGTTATATTTTGTGTAAATGAGTGCATTTAGGTTGTTTTTACTTATATTTTAGGAAGCTACAAGGCATCAACTCGCTCCCTTTTGTGTTTCAGATTACTTTCAATCAAGCTGTTAAAGGCAACAGTATTTACTAACCTCCCAAAGGTCACTTGCCAAAGAAATGGTTATGCATAATAAATAAACACACACATTAGCAGAGCAAGAAAAAAACGGTCAAAACCTGTTGATGTGTGTAATTGAATGACAGCGAGTTTTGTCATATTAGATCAATCCTGAGAGTAATGACAAGTACAGGCCTGACAAATCCTGATCAACCAATGAAACCGAGAAATAAAAACAATTAACAGAAAGCTGTCATTCAGTTTGGAGTCAATACCTGATGGTCAGCAAAATCCAGCAGGGCATGAAATTACGAAACTATCCATCACTTAAAGCACATTACGTGCGTCCATCATGGCACGATTAAGGGTCGCTTTCAGAGTTATTTCACCTGTGTCCGGCTCACAGAAGCTTAAATGAATAACACAAATAGTGAAGCGTTAGCAGCCACGTTCCGCCATGTCTCAAACACATTAGAGAGCTGGTTTCTTTAAACAAACTCAAAGTGACTCTAAAATGACCTTGAAGCAGGCCGCTGTGGCTGTAAATGCTTTGGCTAACTTGTTGTATGACTGTGTTGTGATTGTGCTGAGGGTGCGCAAATATGATCATATCACCCCCATCCTGAAATCACTACACTGGCTCCCCGTGGAACTGAGGATCGAATACAAGGTCTCCCTCCTCACCCACCAGTGTATCCATGGAACTGCCCCTCCCTACCTCAAGGAACTCCTCACCCGTCATAATTCCTTGCGGACCTCCCGCTCCAGCAAAGCCAACCTAAAGTTTCCCCTTTATTTGCTGCTAATACTCTGGTGCATACTACTGTAGGTGGAAGAAAGTCAACTGCGAGTGAATGAATGAGTCTGAAAGAGTGAGTCACTTTCAGAGACGATACCCGTCTACAAACAAGGAAGTTGTGGATTATGTGATGTCATTGTAATGTCTTCTGTCCAAGTAGAAATAAGCGTACTATTTCCGAAACAAACTAAAACTGGTTTGAGGCAGATATGATATTCACAATTACCACAACAATGGAAATAAACTCTTTCTGTTAAAGGGGCCTTATTATGCTAATGTGTAGGTTCATATTTGTATTGTTTGCCTCTACTGTGACATGTTAACACTCTTTTATGTAATGAATAAAAGGGCTTTATCACGTACAATGTAGTGGAGCGCTAACCAATACAAGTGTGAGTGTTACATAGTTATGTCACTATGTTACGGAAGTAAACCAAGGAGTCCAATGGAGACGTTTCAGGCAGGGGGGGGGGGGGGGGGGGGAGTGTGTGGGAGAGAAACTCCCTCTAGAGGGAACACAGGGATTTTAGCCCTTGCAGACCATTTACATGCACACAAATCTATATAACACACTACAGGAAAGGGAAAACCCCAAAAAGCATAATAGGGCCTTTTTAAAATGGATTACTTACTTTATAAAGTCACTGTACTCCATCCAGAAGACCCCCTCACTGCTGCCGTGGGCCATCAGCTCGTGCCTCAGGTTCTGCGGCCACTCTGTCCACTCGTCCGACCAGTTTCCGTTCCACGAGAAGCGTCCCCACGGGTTACGCAGCCGCAACAACCTGAAGCCAAACAGTGCCGGTTAGTGAGGGAAGAGAGGGGGATTCAGTTAGTGACATCTCTGCGGACTCAAATTGCTCCTCTTATGGATCATTGCCTAGTTTTTAACAACCCATTTCATTTTACTGCCTTCTCCCTACTGAGAGAATCCTCGGAGGTTTAATGGGAAACCATACTGGAGTCCCCCCCCCCCCCCTTTTTTCTTAAATGCAGGTGAATCGCTTTTGCAAGCTGCTTTTCATCTCCTCTGGCACTTTGCAGGAGGACTCCGGACTCGTTTCAGATCAAGCGCCGTGGCACAATCTTCCACTCGGATTGCTTTATGCCAGTAAATTAAAGGGGTTGTGTGGGGGCTCTTGAGCAAATTACATCTGGGATTTACGGCAACCCCCTCCTCTCCCAGGTAGGACAGGAGAGAAAGCTTTGTGTGGACTCACAATGCTGATCAAAGTGATCACCATGAACTGCTGTGCACCTGCTCTCTGTTGGCATCAAGCCTCCGACCCATTAACATATGAATCATTCCAGAAGTGCCCTAACAGAGTGTGCATCTGCTCAATCTATCCAAACCGAGGATACTTATTTCTAAATATGCTTTTTTTTAATGAGTAAACAACATCTGAGACATGGTTTCTTTCCATGAATCAGACCCATGCCAGTCAATCGTACTGCGTGACTTATTGGTTTGGATGACATCTACAACAGTAAGGAATGAGAGATGACAGGACAAGGTTACAGCCATGAAACAACTTAGATAAGGATCTTGCACTTATAAATTTGCAACATGTTTTCCCACATTCTGCATTCCCATTTTAAACTTTTGTTTGTATTATATCCTCAATGTCAGTTGCTGATTGTTGATTTTGAAAAATACCTAAAGGCCTAAAACATTATGCGACTGAAGGAGAAATGCATATGCCACACTTTTGTACTATTTTGTAATTCTCTAAACTATTGAAAAAAGAAACACAGGACCTTCAGATCTAATCATCAGGCCTCTAAACACTTTAGTAATAATATAATAAACGTTCTTTATGTAGCACCTTTCATGCACAAAGCAGCCCAAAGTGCTTCACAGAACAAGAAGAAAACATAACAACAATATTAAAATAAATACAGAACAAGATAAAACATCTACAGTGATGCTAATGAAATCCCATTGAATTAAAAGCTGACAAGAAATGATAATTGTTTCAAATAAAACAATTTTTTTTTTAAATGTAAAATAAAAGCAAAACAGAAAAAATACAGTAAAACATGGACAACGATACCAGTGAGAATTGAAAGTTAACCCAAATTAAAAGCCTGCTTTGCTTTTAAACATTTCAAGGGAGTTTGCTGTTCTAAGATTCACCATAATGCCCATAAGTTCATGCTTACTTGAAATGCCTACTATATTTCAATGCAAAGATAAAACAGATGTACAGATAGAGATCAGATCGATTTCAAAAGAGAAACATCAAGTTGGAAAGAGGTATAAGAACTCATAGAAAGGCACTTAAACCCATTTAGTTCACAGTTCTTCGTACCTGTAACCCTGCACCTCTCGTACGTCCAGGATGGAGTACGCGTGTCGGGGCCGCAGACCATGAGACTCGTACACAACGTCGTCTACCTTCATGTTGCCTCCTCCACAAGACGCGCCCATCAGAAACCTGGGAGGACATGGACGGCACTCGGTGTAAGATTGACATAAAGTTGAAAAAACTAAAGCCAACTTAATGGTCAGAACAAACTGCTTGTTACAGACGGTTACAAAAACAAATATCAGTTATACCGCTTTCATTTAATTTGTGACCGCTGCTTCTTCTTTTCTCCAGCTTGTCTCTGTTTAGTAACGCATACTAGGGCTGTGCAATTAATCGTATTTTAATCTCGATTACGATTTTGGCTTGCAACGATTACAAAAACAACGTAATCGAAATAAAACGATTATTATTTTTATAAAAAAAAAAAAAATGTAATTATTATTATTTTTTTGTTTTGTTTTTTGGGGTTTTTCAGTTGAATTATACTTAAAGTTCAGGGTAATCAACTGTTAAAAACATACTGTTCACATTTTTGTTTCAATAAATGGATGTTTTCAAAGTAAATGGATAATCGTTTTTAATAATCGTGATATCAATTATTGACCAAAAATAATCGTGATTAGGATTTTTGCCATAATCGCACAGCCCTAACGCATACTAATGTTGAATACATTCAAGGCGGCTCCGCTTTGATATGTTGAATAAAACCACACGTTTTCTGACAGATGGACCTCCAATTCGGCCTCAGATCATTTGGCCCCTTTGGAGTCCTGCTTGTTGTCTCGTGTTACTTTGAGCGCTCGCATATCAAAGAGCTAATTAGCAGAGCTCCTTCATTGCTGACATACAGGGAGCTGCTAATTGGCATTCAGCACCTTTGTGATTTTGTAACACCCTAGTGTTTGAAGCTCTGATTGCATAATGTTTATCCTCTGATTTTCCTATAAGATGTTTTACTTTTTAATATTTTGTACAGGAAAATACCAATCAATATTTGTATGCATTCTGTTATTTAACACACAGAAAGTTATAGTGGACATGGCCAGTGCTTTTCTTTTGCACATTTAATGTTTGCTTTATATATTGTGCATGTTTTTATTGGATTATTGTCTACTGATTGGTAAATGTATCTGCACATTTTTGTCGTCAAACTCTTTCTGCATTATAAATATTAAAATAAGATATCCATTTATATGTCCATTTAGTTATTTATGAGTATTGCTAAGTGCCTTTCACATGAGTGGGAAAGTACCGAGTCATTCTTTCCCACATAACACAACAATATGTTTTAATTCACAACTAACTGTGTATCTCTGTATTACCATAGCGATAGGGAGTTGTTTTTGCGCTGCGTCGGGCTTTTTAAGGACGCAGGTGTTTCATCAGCTCCATGTAAACCAGATGCACCACACACACTGCTCATTCAGACTCTTGCCATTCACAAGACAATCTTGACTTGAATGAGATATTTCCACCACACTTTCAAAATGATCTTAGCTTACAATTCTGTTTTTAAACTTTGGTTGTTGTTTATTTGTGTCTGTTGTATCAGCATGTGGCTTCTTATCCTCTAGTGTCACTTTTCTTATCTTTTTGTTATCCGTTTGTTTGTGCAAATAAAATAAAAATAAAATCTAATATGAATTCCCTTACTTATTCATTATAAGTAGAGCAGCGGTTCCCAACCTGTGGGCCGCCAAATAATTTGCAAAACATTAGGATTTGTGTGGAAACATTTCATTATTAAGATTTTCTTTTCTCTTTCTTGATCCTCCTTAGCAACGGTCATTACAGTCCTTGACAGCGGTCTGTTCTACTGGATTAACAACTTGTCACATGTTTTGAATTGACCAATCAGAACTTTATTTAGCCTCCGTATTGTTTATGGTTGAATGTGGGCCGCAAACATTTTTTAGATTCTTAAATGGGCCCTGAGTTGAAAAAGGTTGGGAACCGCTGAAAAAAACAGCCAGCAAGAATAATGTTCCTTTCCGCTCAAATCCCACCCCTCCTCCTCTTACCCTGCCTCCTTGGAGCTGAGCATCTTGGCCCAGATGAGGTCGGTGTCGATGGGCTCCTCCCGGGGGTTGGTGGAGCTGACCTGCAGCATCAGGGAGTCGCAGGGAGCCCCCGTCAGCGTGGCCAGGCCCTCGATGGCGCGCCCCGCCTGCAGGGCAAAGTAGGAGCCATGGAGTTTGGCCAGGGCCTTCTCTATCAGCGCCACCCATAGCTGCTTCCTCTGAGCCTGCATGATGGGAACGAGGAGGAGGAAACATTTAGTAAAGTCTGAGTGTAGCTCACTGTAACAGGATGTTGTTTTATGGTGTTCATTTGAACCTGTTGGTAGAGTTTACAGGTTGAAAGGATTTATGCTTTATCATATTGATTCTTATCTTTTCATCACTGTGCTTATTACTGCTGCCTTATCATTTTATTCTGCCATTAGTGCATTCTTAGTCACATTGTAAAGGAATTCACTTAGACTATTTTTCTTCTTATCCACATTATGTAGATCTGATATTATACAGTGTGTCTCGGCAGCATGTGTACGCCTGGTTATGTTTCTCTGCGTTTTATTTATTTCATAACGCCACACTTAATTTGTCTGGTAATTAATTAGACCTCCATGTACAATCCTCCTCTGTGGGGTCCTTTGAGACACACTCGTAATGAAACGCTGGATCATGAATAAGCTTGAACTTATATTAAGAAGTTAATATTACACTGATGTTAGGCTGCAACCCCGTCAACAAACACAAAGCAACTAACAGTGGTCCTGCTTACTGATAAATTAGAGTATTTATGTCTAATATATAGTTTTTTATAATACTGCTCACAGTAACGACCCAGATTTTGGTGTCTTTAGCTACAAGAATAACAAATAAAAAAAGACTTCTGTTTTAACTCCACATAACCCAGATATTATTTTCTCATTTCCAAACGTATAGTCTTCAACCGACACCGACTTTATTCGTCTCTGTGCAGCTCCCTCTGGAGCCACAAGAAGCTATATCAACATAGCTCTCATATGCAGTAGAACACCCCAACACTTGTAGACACTCTTTGATGTGGGGAGTTCCCCTTTAAGGGTCACAAAGTGGTGCGAGCGATAAAAAAGGAATGTCAGAGGGTATATAGAGTGTACATAGTGTGCATGTGTCAGCATTTAGTTTGGGCCTCTGTAAGTATCTGCTATCTATCTTCACTAACCTCTCTGACCTGAAAGAGGACACACATTATAAGAGTGGAATGTTTATTTCCTATCCAGCCATTCTGTATTGTTGTTCGTGCAACCTTTGACACAAATAGTGTATCTTGTCCACTGAATATCAATGAATATCTATTTTCTCATCCATCACTTCTCCCTCCTTAAATTACTTCTACCTTCCCTATCTTTTTTTACTGACCTGGGAGAATAGGAGGTATCCGTAGTCGTCGCAGGGCAGCATGTCGTCCACCAGCACCGTCGTCCACGTGCCGTCTTTACACAACCGGACCTGGTAGGCCCCCTCCTGGCAGATAGTCCTGGTGATCATCACCCTCTCCACCAGCTCGGGACGCTCCGCCAGCACCGCCAGCGCGCTCAGGAACCTGGAGAGGGATAAAGATCAGTGATTCGGAAAATGAAACGTCGGATCGGGGAAGGACAGATGTGTGAGTGAGAGGATGTGACTGAAACAAAGCGCAAAAGACAATCTGAAGCGGCGAAACAAATGGAGATAAGAGAGAAATGATCAGCTGATTGTGACGGACAGGTGGATGGATGAATGGACGCCAGCTTAGTCAGAAAAGACAAGCAGTGATAGGGGATGTCGACTGCAATCAGAACAAAAACACACAGGCTGATAATCAGCTGTAAATGTGGATTAAAACATCACTTTCCAAAAACATACCTCATTTTTTTAACATGATTTGCCCTTATTGAAAATCAATCGGGTGTTATGAGTCAAGCTTCTATGCCTTCTGGTTGCCTCCCCATTACTGTTCATTCAGCCTGCAGCAAAGACAAACCAGCTCGCCTCCTCTAATTAGCTTGCAAGAGAATTTAGTTAATCAAAAATCCGGATACATCAGAAAATGCTAATTCCTCACACAAGAGAAAGGAGACTGGGGACGCGAGGATCCGACTTGAAAGGAATAGATTTGAAAGTGAGCATAAGTTCATCTGAAAGTGTGGAGAGAGATCATACAAAGCTGATGAAATGCCAACAAACGGTTGAGGTTTGGGGACCACGATCGAAAAGTATTTATCTTTGTACGCTGATGACTCACCACTGATTTCAAGTATACTGACACGCTACATTAAAGGGGCCCTATTATGCTAATGTTCTGGTTTCATAACTGTTTTTCCTGTGTCATGTTTACATGCTTTAATATCAAAAAGTGTTTCTCATACTGTGCTGCAGCACCTCTTTTCACCCTCTGTCTGAGACCAGTCTGCTGGCCGGCTCTTTTTTGATTGGTCAACCACTTAGAGATGTCCCGCCCCTTAGCCTATTATTTACAATGGGTTGGAGCACTAGCCCATAAAAGTGCAAGCTTTACATAGTGATGTCATTGTATAACAGAAGTAAAGAAAGGAGAGAACTGGAGTCACAGATGAAAGCAATAATATCCCTTTGAGTCCAGTCAATGTGTGTCAGTGCAGCAGACTGAAACTCTTTGTGTGGGTTCGCAAATGTGTATTAATAAAAGCTATACAATGCCATCTGTTAAAGTGGCAGCCGAGTGAGCCAGATCAGCCCATTTAGCCGCTGATGAAAAACCAATCATCTGCAACCAAAAAAAAGAAATCAAGGGGAAATCCAATTAGCCGTGTCATAATGTGACTCTAATGTCAGCTTGTACTCAAGGACAAGGTTGGACTGGCACTACTTTCCTCTGCATTCATTGGCTGGCTGAAGGGGGGCGGGGTTATTTGCTAGTTTATTAGGACAATGTTAGTGTGTATGAGAGAGAGAAGTATCTGGGTTACATCCTGTCTGTGCGAGTAAGAGGATTTAGCTCTGGGGATATTCTTTGATAAGCCGTGTTTGCAGGAGATGTGGGGCGAGTAGTCGTATTGGCACAACTTTTTGAAGGTTCTTTGTTGTGTGAAGAGGAAGATGGCAGGAGAGTAACACACATATATACACACAGACGAAAGGACGCGCGGAAGAAGGGCAGGGAGTAAAAATGTCCAGACTCTCATTCCTGTGACTAATCCTCCTGTCAGGTGTATCTGTACATCTGTCCAGCTGCGCCCTGCTTCCTCTTTTATTTAATGCCCGCCATCTTTCATTTTCCTGCCTCACAATTTTTCACTATCTCTCTTTTGACTTACTGTTTCACCGTTCTCAGTCACTGTCTCCATCTCTCAATGCTAGCTTCAGGCTGTGGTGTTCGTCTAAAGCTGACCTTTCAAAATGACTCAACGGAAACGTCATGTTGTTCTTTTGGGATATTTGGTTATTCCTAGGTTAAAAGCATTAATCATTTCCCATTTAAAAAAAAAAGTATTATTATGTAAATGTGTCTGGATTCTTTCAGGTTATCTTCCTCAAAGTGTCCCGTGCGGTTCTGACAGCTCACCAGCAGTTTCCCAGCAGGCCTTGCAGGATGTCAGAGGGCCGTGGCGTGCGGAAGACGGACCACTTGACGCCTCGATCTTTGAAGTTGCTGCAGTTGATCTCGTGGGGGCGGAGCCACTTTTTGATGCGCTGCTGGACGCTGTCGCCCTCGGGGAAGCCCACGGAGCGAGGACCGGGGGGGAAACTGTCGTCCACAAAGTTCACCGAGTTCTGAGCCAAACAGAGGGAGACAGCGGAGGAGAAATTAGAGGGGAACAAAAGGATGAGATGACTGAACCAGTTAAAATAAATGTCACCACCATTTTATTAAGATCTTTATTAAGAGGAATCATCTTATATTATGTTTGATTTGTACATTTTTAAGAGAGATTAAAGGTTAACAGAAATAAAATGCATGTGCAGTCAAGGCAGAAACCTACTGTTGGCTTATTAAAAAAGATTATAAAAAAACATGTGAAAAAAAGCAGCACAAAAAATATCAAATTATTCATTTCTGCATTCTTGAAATAAATATGACATGGTTCATCAAATATATGTATCTACATGTTTTTTTTAGTTAGACTCATTAGATTAGTAAATACCAAATGTTTTTGACAATAATACGAAAGTACTTTTCATTTATATAAATATAAAGACTCGAGTAATGTCCTAGAAGTGTACAATACATTTTTAGGTAAAGGTTATTCATTTGTGTAGTTCTATAAAATGTTTTGAAACTTTGTAAAGCTTCCTGTTAAGTCTGTCCTCTGTATTAATCATCATGCCCAAATGAGCAGATGAGATCACTTCAAAATAAAACTTTTTCGAACACATAATGCAAGTCTGAAAGACACTTGGAGCTCTACCGTTAATCTCTTCCCTGCATTTCTAATGCCACATATTTCGCAGGTGGATGATGATTAATACAGGACACTACATGAGGCGTAGATTCGGGGTAGAACAAGGACAAGCTCCTGCCTTCCACAGTTAGTGGTGTGGCAGCAGGAATTACTGGCCCGCTGTTGGTGTGGCATCACACATCTGCACAGCAGGACACCTGATGTGGCGCCGTGTAGCAGGCAGGGTACAGGACACATATGCAAATCACTTCTGAAACATTTCAAACGCTTCAGCTTCTGACACATTTTCTGCAGAGCACTGAGCATTCATAATGGCTTTAACAATGTAGCTGCCTTTGTACTGTACACAGGACCTGGACTAAACAGCTAGACACCCAATCTGACACACTATCTGCCTATCTTAAACTCCTGTACACACACCGGAGAGGGCCAACAGCCGCGCACGCAGAACCTATCCTCTTTCCTGTTTGTGGTGTCAGGAGTGGACCCGGCGGGGGACGGGGGGGGTGTAATGTGGGCGCCCGACGGGTGGCTCGCACTGAGGCCAATTGATTACTCGCCATACCCACAATCCAATTCTGTAGTCTCGAAGCAGCATTGGCAACCAGACAGAATCACTTTCAGCACTCCGGCCATCCGAGGTCTCCATGTAGCTTACAGATTCTGCAGCTTATGTGTGACCCTTGTGCCAGCTCTCACTGTGTGGGCTCAGGGCCGTGTGGATTTACCACAGGGGTGGAGGGAAAAAGCTTTGGCCTCTGAACTTCAAACTTTAATGTAAGATAAGATATACTTTTAATGTCCCAGCAGGGACATTTATGTAACTCAGAGCACAGCCTGTACAGAACATGAAAATGACTAAAGTGCTCTAAACAAGCACAGAAATACATATACTGCATATTTATCAAACGTATTGCACAAACATCATCATTTCAGATGCTCGGAAGATCAATCCTGTTTGGCTCTAATGGATGTTAGCTACAATAACAAGATTGCACTCACCTCTCATATCGTCAAGCGGGTTATTCTGAGTCATTGAAAAAACAGGGTAACCAGCATTTTGTCCATAAGGGCTACACTGTGCTAAACATGCTAATATTAGCCTTCTCACATCTGGGGCGCCCAGGGTGTTTTATGGGCCAAATGTTTTTTTTTATTCGTTTTTACAAGAAATGTTGAACCCATTTAATCTTATGAGTCACAGGGACATGCAACTCCATTAGGAAGCTTAAGAATCCTTGAGCTAACACAAGCAAAATGCATGCATTATCATAAGCAGTGTGGTATGCATGTATGTAATAACATAAGTGCCAAAGTGTGAATGACGTGCACACACACACACAGAGAAGCATTTATGCTACCGTTCGGGTTGCGGTGTTGTGATACGGCCAGCGTAAGTCTAGCTGTCTGTCGTCCTGCTGCTGTCTCTGATTCTATCGCTGGGCACATGGCAGCGTGCAAACGAGACGCAATGAGCCAATTCAGAGCTACGAAAACCCGCTGCTGCCCTCCCGCATTCTCCCAGACTACACATGACTGGCAAGATTTAAGAAGGGATCTTTCTTTTTTTTTAAAGTAAGCTAGATATCTACATGTTACAGACAACCTAGTGATCCATGAATATGTGGTGACAAGCAGCTGTAGAGCTGGATTTCAAAGCGCCATACAATAAACCCAAAATAAGCATCTCAAATCAACCTGGTATGTACAATACAGTCACTATGAGATATGACAATTGTTTGCAGAAGATAAACACTAGATACAATCTCATGTAGGGTGCAGGATTTGTAAAAAAAAAAACGAATTGCAAATATTTTTGAATGATATGGCGCTTTGATGTAGGAGGAATTGATCATTTTGGCACAAAGGCATAATATTTGTAAATGATCATAGCGTGATTTTTACCATACAAATGTGTATTGCTGAATCTGCAGAATACTAGTGGTACTGTAGGCCTCTGCATCTCAACACTTCTTCATTGAAATTGGCCTTTTAACACATATTTAGCCCTTAACAAATGTGATCCTTGCGATTTGAATACTGCACTAGTCCATTTCAATAGAATTGTAATTAATTGTGCAGCCTTACAATCTAAAATGCAAAACCCAATATCACATATTTTGTGTTGCAACAATTCAAAGCAACAACTAGTGTCAAAAGGAAAACAAACAAAAGTCAGCCTGTTGCCATAAAGCATATTTGTGTTGCTCCCCAAGAGGGTGACATGGAAAAGGGAACAGAGGAACGCGCTCCAGCCATGCTGGGCTTTACAGTTCACTAGCGGCGCTGATGGCTGTTAGCAGCGTTTACTCGTCTGGCATAGTGAGTAAGCGGACACGCTCTGGGGCGCTGGCGTCAGGCACACACACCTCTCGCTCTCAAAACCAATCAAGGAGAGTAGAAAGGCAAGGAGGCAGGGGAAGAAAGACTCATATTTCATGTTTCTTGCTATAGTTTTGGTTTTTATTGATTGCTGCAATCTGAACAAACTCTTGGGAAGGTTTCATCAGCAAAACCATGTGCTATAATAACCCCAAAGAGAAAAGGATCAAACACTGACACTGTCACTGTCTTTCTGTGTGCTCAGACTCCCCGCATGCTTTTGTAACACTTTCATCATTATTACATTTGAACCACTGGTGTCTTGGTGCTTGCCAAGTGTTAATGCCTTTGACAGTGACGGATTAGAAAGAGTAGCTCTGCTTGTTTACCAACTGCTCCGGTTCATCTCTCTGACCCCCCCAAACTGAGCTGAGGCACTTGATACTGTCAGTGATTACACTCGCTATAGGGAAGCGGCTGATTTCTGCTCCTCTCCAGCTCTGCTTCTAAAAATAGGCCAGCTCCTGTTTTCACCTTAGCACACACACACACACACACACACACACATCCAGACCCACACCGACTTTACTGTGGAATTGAGTGCAGTCGTGTGGAGAGGGGATTGAGGGTGGAGAGGATGGCAAAGGGAGATTATTTCATTTTTTTTAGATATAAGCAAAAGAAGGGAGAAAAAGAAACAGGATGAGCATGCGGGGATAGATTCGATGGAGGGAGACGGGATAAAAAGTCGATGAAGATGGGAGAGCGCTTTGAAGAGTGCACAGCTAGAGCCTCAAATATTTGCCGGAGAAACGGAACGATGATAAAAAGAAATACCGGCTTAACTGCTGCTTCCTAAATTAGGAAAAGAGGATGGGAAGGTGGGGATGAGGGGATCTCTGATATCCTTCCTTCCTACTGAGCCAACTTTCCCTCCCACGCTCGCAGAGATGAGCCCTGTGACTTTCAAAGAAGCCATTAATAATGCATAGTAGAGCACACTCCATGCTATTGTAAACATGGCATGATAGGTGCTCTGCAGGTGTAATGAATGGGCACACATGAGACAACCAAGTTCATTTAGGGAATAACAGCCTGCCTGGAAAAATGACCTGAAGCTGAGCCGTTCTAGATTCTCCAATGCCAGGTTTAAAATGAGTCCAATCAGATTTGTCTCATTAATATTTATCTTAACACATGCTCTCAAATTAACCCATTTTACAACCATGAGCAGCATATCTATTCCAACATAACACAAGCCTATCCAAGGTGCACTTTACAGTTAAGTTGAGCTTGAAGTGGTGTTATTCATTTATTCATTCAAATGTCTTTTCTCAGCCGCCTTAGGTCTTTTAGGGCAAGTAGAAAAATCCTTCTTTTGTTTTTTATATCGTGACTATGAGTGTTCAACAGCACTGAAATACTATAAGAGTTTGTGACACGCTCCACGAAATGCAAACCTGCTTAGGTCAACCCTTTGGGAATTATGAATCATCCTACCACAGTGTTTCCCCTATATATTAAATCATAATAATAATAAGTGGCGACCCTTTTTGATTTTTGATTGTTTGTTATGTGGATTTGTAGTATTTGTGTTACTGTACGTTGCTAAATCTTGAGACATTGCCACTGTATGTACTAGGCCTCAAGAGCCTTTCTTGTGCTGGCGGACACATAGAAACACATCATATTGGCGGGGCGCACTTCACACACACTAAACAATTCCACGCGCTCACATTTAGCTGGACCCGCGTGCCTTAGCACCGCTGCTATGACTCCATCCTAGGGGAAACACTGCTACCATATAACATATTGAGGCTGTCCATCAACATTGTCCCTAACCCTTACCACAGTAAATATGAACAGAGGATATGGTGCCATCAAATCAGAGAGACGGGCTCTCACGAATGAATACCGTTAGACTAAAGCACTCTATTGTGGATTTGTCATAAAATTAAAAAAGAATCACAGATTAAATGAGGGGTAAATGGATCTTAAACATATTGTCAATGATGTTATAATGAATGTGATCTGTCATTAAACTATTATCTTATTAGAGGAAGTGACATAGAAAAGTTTCCACATCCTAATATGGTAGCTGAAGAAGACTCTCTCCAAACAGCTGAGCGACCAATCAGGGCTCACGAATGAACAATTCCTCTGAATGTCCTCTTGATCTTTGAACATTAAATGTCAAGGTGCTAAATAAAGTAAATAATGCATAATTATTCAAGATTTTTTAAAAAGACAGACAAGCCCGTAATTACAAAAACATGATTATATTTTCTCCCTTAAGAAAAAAAACAGTAAATGATTAACTTCCTAACATCTGACATTTACGCTGCTTAATGAAAATGTTCTGTCTAACTATGGTGTGTCGTGATGGAAAGGAAGGAATAGGCTGTCTGTTTAACTAGATCCATAGTTGATCCTTTAATTACTTGGCAAAATGGATGCACTTCGGTTAAAAGGGAAAGTAAATACTGGATAATAAAAATATTATCGTCTGTCCTATTATACAGTAAGATTCCTCGCATAAAGTCATGTAACATCTTCCTAGATACAATAGCAACTCTTACATTTAAATCAGACCAGGCTAAAAAAGACTTCTGATACAGAAGTGACTTTCCTAAAACAGACATTTGAGGTTTGTAACTTTAGTAAAGTGATTTGATAGTCTAAAGTATATACGTGTACTCTCTGATCTCCTCTGTGTCTGCAGCTCATTGAAGTGGCCGAGATATAGCCGCCGGCCGTTTCAAACTCCGCTAACGAAGCAAGTGCAAACAGAAGCAATGACAAAGCCTATTAGCATTTCTCTGAAATGAGAGCGATTGAGGGAATGGGAACAATGCCAGAGACATAACAAAAAGAGGAATTACAATGAGGGAACTGTGCTCTGAATCGGCAATGTGCACCCTGTGACGCATTGCACATCGAAAAAGAGCAGACTTTATCATAAAAGCAGAGGAAAACTTAGCATAATGTAAAGATAAGAAGGAATACATGATGATAAATGACCCTGCCGGAGGATAAAAACTTGATACTTGGACAAAAATGTACTTGTTTATCCTTTAAAGATGATGCAAATCAATACTTGTCATAAACATGGACGGCCCAAAGCCATTTTACCTCACTAATGACGCACAAAGACAGTTGTTGATGTTTTCTTGTGTTTTCCAGCAACACATCATTTGTCTCTTACCTCTCTGCAGAAGCTGACTATGTTCTCCAAAAGCTCCTTGGCCTCGCCTTCATCATTTCGCCGCCGGGCGTCCACATGCATGCTCTCCCTCCTCTTCAGAGGCTTCGCCACCTTACGGAGGGTGAGGTACTGCTGCGGCGTGTGGCACGCTGCACAGTTCTTGGACTTGAGGTCGTTGAGCAAGGTGCATGCTGGGCAGCTCCACTGTCCCACCTTCTCCTGGAGGCTCGATGAGATGATGGAGGAGGAGGAGGAGGAGGAGCTAGAAGAAGCGATAGCAGAGGAGGAGGAAGGGTAGCCGCGGGCCTGTTTCCGTGCTTTATGACCCGAGGAGGAGGAAGGTGTGCAGGAGCATGGCGCGGCGCCGCAGTGTGTGCAGCAGCGAGGCAGGGGCTGCTCCTGAAAGCCGTGCAGCTTGGAGGAACCGCATGCCGAGCACTTGGGGGCCCCTGTGGGGTTGCGCAGCGTGCACTTGGAGCAGGCCCAGGTGCTGAAGTCCGGGCTGGAGGGGCTGGCGGGGGTAAACCGTACCGACTCACAGCCCACCAGGTCAATGAGGTCAGCCCCAGCTCTGGAGGAGCGGCAGGTGTCGCACTTCGACGAGCTACCTGGGTTGGTCAGGGCACAGCTAGGGCACTTCCAGCTGGGGGCCCCTGAGGAAGCAACAGGGAGATGGGGGTTCAGCGGGTGGTCTTCTTCCTCCAAGATACTGAGGCGTTTGCTGGGGTACGAAGGTTCCTGGGGTTGTGCGTGTTTGGGCTTGGCCGGCCGCTGTGGGCCTGGCTGGGGGGGCACACCGGCTGCTGAGGGGGAGGTGGGGCTCGGGGTGTTGGGGCCCGGGTTTGTAGGGCGCCCTGGGGGGGGCACCTCTCTCCTGCTGCGGGGCACAGGGTTGTTATGGAGGGAGGAGGAGAAGGACGTAAAAGGGGAGGCGAGGGGCTGCGAGGGGACGTTCGGAGGTTCTTGAGGGTCACAGGGGGGGGGCCGGGGGAGAGTCGTCCGTTAGGTCTATAAGTAGCGGGGCAGCCCCTGCTGTGTGGACGGGAAACCCCAGTACAGGTGTGCGCACCTCAGGCACCACTAGCGACTCAGGGGGGATTTTAGGTAAAGACAGTTTCCTGGGGCCGCCACAGGCTGAGCATGACAGAGCCACTGGGGTGTTGTGGAGCGTGCAGCGAGGGCAAGCCCACCCGGAGTGATGCCCCTCCAGGACACACACCTCTCCGTTGCTCTCGGATCGGCGCAGCACTTCCTCTTTAGCCGGATGCTGTCCATGGGGCTCGAGGAGAACCATCGGGGTGACGATAGGTGTTGGAGGTTCGGTGGGAGCAGGTGGAAGGCCGTTGGCTGTGGCAGCTATGGTGGTGGTAGGGGGGGTAGGGGTGGTAGGGGAGGGTCCGAAGCCACACACGGTGCAGGCTCCGGACCCCTGGGAGTTGTTGAGCGTACAGCGGGGGCAGGCCCAGCGGTGCTCCTCGGTGCTGCTCAGACGCAGGATCTGGTTCAGGTCGGGTTTCTGGCGCGGCGCCTCACAGATGGAGCAGCGAGGGGCGGCGCCGGCATTTAAGAAGGTGCAGCGTCCACATGACCACTCGCTGCCTCGCACCGCCGCTGCCATGGAGCCAGGGGAGTGAGAGTGGCTGGAAAAGAGAAAAAACTATGAGTCAAAGCTAATTCAACAACCAAATGAGTCAGGAGTAGATTCTGCCAACTGTAACCGCTTAGCAATAATACATGCATAATAAGCAGCTCCATGATTTGAGCCGTATCAGTCAGTTGGAGCAATGGTAAAGTGTTGGTTGAGCTCAATAGGAGGGAAAGAAAAAGACAGACAAAAAAAGAGTGAGAGATAGAGATTTTTTTAGAAAGCCAGAGAGTGAATACTTGCTTCCAGTCAACTAAGGTGATTATCTAAAAGGCAAGAGAGGAAAGCGAAAATATCTGCGAGTGCAAGAGGAGGAGAGACAGGCAGAATTAGAGAAGAAAAATAGAGTGTGAGAGGGAAAGATTAGCCAGTGCAGGGGGAAAATCAAATCTCCCTCCTGGGGGCTGTGAGGGCAGTAAATCCATACACAATGGCTACATGATTAGAGCCAGGGAGACGGCACATATATAGTGAGGAGGAGCCAGAGGAGAGGAGGCTGCTGTCGCCTCAGAATACCAAGAAAGCAATCCTTCAGTCCTCCTGACTGACACTTATTAGAATGGAAAAAACACATGGGATCTCCTCCACTTCGTATTAGCACTCCTCTCCCCTCTGACTCGTAGAATGCTAATGCAGGGTAGAGGGGGCAAATTAAGGTCATGTCAATCCAATGCCCAAATGAATTTCCTACTGAATTTTGAATGCATGACTCGATTAATTCAGGCAGGCATATTTTAGCGCTAAATCTCTTTTAATTGTGGATTTGAGGCCATTTAAAAACCACCATAAACATCTTTAACAGGGCTTCAGTGGTGTAAACAGTGCAGAGGGAAATGCGAGCAGAGGGGAACAAATCCATTTTAGACCGTTTTCAGAAGCATAGAGAGCAATGCATCTATCTAGTCAGCTACTCGCTTGATTTCAACACATAATAACCTAAAGCAATCTGTTATGGCGGATTGATTTGTACATACTGTTCGTACTGTGGGCCTGCAGTTCAGTCAATCAGAGGTATTGATAGTGGATATATTAGGGCCTTTGGGAGGGGAAGCAGCACAGTTGGATATCTCCAGAGAGCGAGTGGGAGGGGGAGTGGAGAGCGACGCCCCGAGGGATGGACGAGGTTGCTGTCTGGACAAGCCCATAAATGTCACTGTCACTCAAGCTGCTCATGTGTGAACAGCAACAGAGAGGTGGTAATGTGGGAATTGCAGGGTAGCGTGGGTTAGGTGCTAAGAGCCTGAAAAGTGCAGTGCTCTTCACATTGATCTCTGAAGCAGAGGTGTTGTCCACAAAATAACCCGTGAGGCTCTTTTGGGGAATAATGCTTTTTTTCTGCAAGAGAATCAGAAATATTTTATTTATCCCCTTGGGAAATTTGATTTTGTGACAGTTGCTCCATTTTAGAAAAATATTAAATAAAATAAAGTAAATTATTTTAAACTAAATGTACATGAATTTATATTAAATTATAATAAGTTAAAGTGTTCTAAAATATATAATTAAATGTTTTAGCAATTGCTCCATTTGAGAATAAAATGTAATTAAATTAAATAATTCAAAAATGTAATTATATTAAAGGGCCCATGTCATGCTTTCCGGTTATTACCCGTCCCCTTGTGTGTTATGAAGGTTTGTATGCATGTAAACGGTCTGCAGAGTCACAAACCCTCAAAGTACACCCTGTAGCGAGTAAAACTCTAACACAGAAAAGACCTGTCTATGCTGCCCCAGAACGCCTCGTTGGAGATTTCTCTTTTTCCATTGTTTGCTTCCTGGGTTCTGTGACGTGTGAATACCCAAATCAACAACAAATGACCGGATTGGCCCAAATGGACCAATCCGCGGAGCACCTCACACACCAGGATCCCTTGGCTAACTAACAGGGAGTCCCCATTGACTTGCATAGAGCTCCCTGAACGCTGGTAATAGACGAGTTGGGATCGCGGAGAAATGCTCTCCGCAGACCCATTCTCACAGCGTTATCAACCTTTTTCTTACTCAATATCAAGCCACACTTATTGTTTTTACTTCGGCTGTGAGTGTTAGTGTGTGCTCAGGATGAGTTTCGCTTGTTCTCGCTGTATCGCCGACCCGGAAACCTGTCCGCTCCTCGCAGCAGCTCGCAGCAACGAGCCTCGCAACGTCCCGACCAATCAGAGCACACTGGGCTCACAGGGAGGGGGGGGGGGGCAGGAGCTCCAACAAGCCGTTTAGGACAGAGTGAATACACATACTATACAGAGATGCTGTATGAGAAACCAATGTGATTTTGGAAAATTGCACAATTTAAATCTATTCTAGTAGACCTCAACAATGGAAATATGATCAGTAGAAATGGCCATGACATTGGACCTTTAAAACAAAATATGTATTCAAACATAGAGAAGAAAAATGTGCAAATTGTATCAAAATAAATAAAAATAAATGTTGCTCAATTTTTTTAATACAAAATTATATGATTCTAAATTAACATCAAATTATAATAAATGTAAATATTTATTCAAACATGGAGAAGTAAAAATGTGCAAATTGTATCACAATATACATCATTCTATTTTGTAACTGTTGCTGCATTTTAAAATAAAATGAAATCAGATAACATTTAAATATTTAACTTTAGGTAAAACGTGTACATTGACCCACAATATATAACAATAAATATGTACAAATATGTATAATGCAATATCTTGTATTAATATGATAATTGATATCAATTATGGAAAAACACGTAACTGCTCTAAATGTACAGTGTAATACAGTTGTAATGCCAAAGCGCTGTGAGTGAAAATGCTGATGCTCCCTGTGCCTATTTCCAATTAACATATTCTGATCATCCTTTCTTGATTTCACATTAGAGCATGTACAAATCAACGTCCCAGTGCATGTGACATTTAACTGCTGAGGAAGTACAGAGGAGTGTAGATCCGGCTCTTCTCCTCTGCAGCACCATGAGTCCTGGCCGGCTAATTGCCCCAAGTTCAACTCCATTAAACCTTTCAAACCAGGCGAATCGTCCGAACCCAGGGGAACCTCTCACAGACTGCTCCTGCTCCCAGCACACTGTGCTCTCCTTTCGTCAACTCTCCTCCCGAAGGTAAGGAGGAGAATGACAGCGGGAGAGGGACGGTCAGTCACTAATGCGTGTCTTTGGATGTCTTTGTGTGTGCGTGGATCCTTGCCTCTGGGTTGGTGTATGCAAGCATGGCTGTATCTATTTGTAGATATAGCATAGTTGCTTGTTATATTGTCCAACTGCATTTGTTTGTGTGTTTTCTCCGCCGCGAGGCAGCAACAGTATGGAAGAAGAAGTCCCAGTTCTTAATGTCAGGAGCCATTAGCTGTGGATTCATTGTCCTGGGCTGCAGTCAGCACTCCCTACATAAACCAGAGCCCGCTGTGTGAGGAGGAAACTCAGCCTTCCAATGAAAACAGTGAGCAAAACTAGAAAAACACATTTTTGGCGAAGAGACACAAACACTAGGAAATGAATACTTTTCTCTTTTTTGCTTAGTCTTTTATCCCAGTACTATCTGCCATGTCCCCGTGGTAGCTATGCAATATTAAGTGTTCCAAAAGTATCAGTCAGTGTGTATTTCAAAAAGAATGAAAATCCTTTCCCTCAAATTATTAAATATGCTCTGAAAATATTCCAACCATCCCCAAAGAACCTGTGCCGAGTCTCCACACTACAACACCCCCCTCACCCCTAATTGAGTTAAATGTGGTTGAATTAATTGGTGGCCCCATGCTAGCATTGATGGCACATGTTCACACCGTGCTTAGCTCTCCTGCCTATCTGAGGGCCGCAAACAGCAACGACAGCAGCCTCAGCGAGAGTCAACACCTCGCGTCTGATGACAGGTTCTTCCCTGTGGCCATTTTCATAACTGTCAGGCCTCTTTTCATCTCGAGCGGGAGAGCAAAGTCACAGTGTCAGCCACATGGAGACTTTGTCAAAGCAATTGATTTGGTTCTCGGCGGAGCGCATGGGATTGCAAATTCATTACGTTTCTGTCTGCAGCGAGCCAAAGTGGGAGCTTTTTAATTTAAGTGATCAGCCTCGCAAGGAATTTCTTAATATCTAGCTTAATTATCTCATTATTATCAGTTGTAAGCACATCACTTATTAAATGTAAGTAAGGCACGGTGAAACACTACAACCATTATACTGGGCCTCAATTAAAAAGGATACGTTGAAAGTGAAGTACACATACACACACACACACGGTGCACACACACACATACACACACACACACATACATATGAAAAGTACTGAGGAACCATTTCAGCCGGCGATGCCTTGACCCCACATTAAAAAGATGCTTTACGTGTGCATGCTCCACTCAGGAGTGTGTACAACACACACGTACACACAGACACACCTTTTGTCCTTGGCCCTGTGCTCAGTGGAGCCGCTCTTAAAGTGCCCACTTCAGCTCCTCAGTTCCCCAGTGTCGCAGACCTGGGCGAGTAGCCAATAGCTTACAGTGAAAGAGGAAGAAGAGACCGAACTATAGCGAGTGAAGGAGAGAAAGACAGCTCTGCTCTAGAAAAAGCCATCGTTTTGCAATGAGGCCCACAATGAATAAAGTACCTGTAGTCTCAATTAATTTAAGTAAGAGCATTAATGACCCCAGGCCAGTTTTTTAATGCATCAGTGGGCGTAAGACAATCATAGAGCACTTTAGCAGACTGATACAAGGAGTGAGAGCTCTACAGTGCTCATGCTGCGGGAACAAGTTAAATTACACAACGAAGGAAGTCCTCAGGCTGTAGATAAAAAAGGTACGTGTAGAGAAATACAGAAGGCTTTAAGAAATTCTAAGGTTAGTCCTAAAAGGCTCTGAAGATATTGTGTTGGCCACCTACGACTGGCCACATGGATTTGTTCCAAACACTGAACTCGGTTGCGAGATCAGGGGAACGGAGTCTCGCCAGCTTCTCCCCGTGCCGCTGTGAGACATTTGGCCTTTGTGCGACAGTCATTTGCG